TATTGTGGAAAAGTACTGTCACAGATATGGATTTGTGTTCCTAGAAACCAGGGCCTGGAGCCATATACCCCCTCCACCCCTTCGTTTTTTGGCATGAGATTGGACAGATGTGACACATTACTGTGCAAGCGTTACTGAGGATGTGGTCTTCATTCTGTGCTGTTAGCATACTCTGAATAAGGATTAACTGTTTTAAATTAGCATTTAATGGATGAGAGATGCAATGAAAAGCAGCTAAACTGTTTGAGAAGTTCCCCTGCTGAAGTGAACTTTAACATGGACCGTCAGACCGTGTTTAAAAAGATGCGTTTGTGGCCTGATGTGAATTATTAGATCTGTAGCCTGGCAGACAGAGATCTCAGCAGCTGTCTGTGCTCAGAGACCTAACACTTCCTCCTATGGCTGTGAAATGAGCTTATGGGGGGCTGTATGTTTTACCAGAGCCTGCAGCAGGTTACAGCAAACCCTTTCAGTTAAGAAAACCCTTAATGATGTTGGGCTGCAAATTCATTCTGCTTAGTAGTATTCTAGTGGTATTATAGTACTACTATTATAGTAGTACTATTATTTATTTATTTTTTTTATTTTTTAATTTGACTCTTTTACACATGAATTTTTCTGCTGCAAAGTGTGTCGACTTTGTTTGGACACCTAGCTGGACACTCGTTCAGATCATTCAAAGTGCTTCCTCAGTAAATGTTCAGTACTTCTTACAGTATTTATTTTACTTATTTTAAACATGTATTATATATTTATTTAAATTTGATGTAAATGCTTTTCCTTATTTAAGTTGGCTTATTTAACTATTGTGAAATATTCATTTATATATTCATTTCTTGTTTAATGTGGCATTGAATTTGAATCTCTAAATGTTAATAAAATTTAGTAAATGACAAATTTTCTCTTCGGTTCACACAACCTCTATTTGGACGCAAGCATCGCCTGACCCGTTACGCACCTGGTAACCATCCTAGAGTTCAGGAGCCTCTAGTTTTATCTGAGGTCCACCGTTCGCTGAAGCCAGCTCTTATCTCGCAGAGCTTTGATCTACCGCTCGCTCCATTCCCCACTGGCATTGCCTGCGCGAATGCTATGCAACCCGCTAGCATGAGTCATGCCAATCCGTTTTATTTGCCTTTTTACAAATGCAAATCTCAGGGGTTATTCAAGTGCGCTGTTATTCAGAGGCGACTCTCGCGGCTGCCTCTTTCTCAGCCAGATTCGATCCCCTGTTTGAAATGACTACATACTGTATGTAGTCCAGCTCTGTGATGTGGTTCGAAGCTGCTTTGATCCAGTTCTCGCCACATCCACGGGCGTCTTATTGCACCTTGTTGTGCGCCTACACAGCTTCTGGGAAAACGCTGTCAGGTGAGAGACTCCCATCTGCATCGGTGCTGTTGGCAAGCCAAACACTATATGTCACACGTTACTCTGTAGAAATAGCACTTCAGTAACAGAGCAGCTCTGTGCTGATTCAATTTCAAGAGTTGGCATTGCATCCATTATCATTATTGTGTTAGCATTAGGCTTATTTTCTCAGAAAAGAGCAGGGGTGAGTTTTCTAGAAGGGCTCACTGCTGTATCTGGTTACTGCAGTACTTGTTTACAGACAGGAGGGCACGGCAGCTGCGTTTATCTCCATGCCAGGCCAGAGGTGTAGATTTTTGTGTGCGCGACAGTCGAGTAAACAGCTGATTGTTCCCTGAACTGTCTGTGCACAAGGTCACGTGACTGGCTAAGCAGAACTAGAGATAAAGGCTGACCTGTTTGCTTGAGAGTTAGTTAATAGATAAGAAGGGCACACATGCGGTCTCTTTTACGCCCACATACCCTACTGTTCAAAAGTTTAAAAGAATGTTGTTTTTAACTAAGTTGATGCTTCTTTTTTTACAAAAGCAGAATTTAATCAACATTGAGTAAAACACATTTACTTAGGTTGCTAATGATTTTAGAAATTGCTGTTTTATAATTCAAAGGCCCCTTTTCAGCTGCCAGTCTGCTAAGAAAATATTCTGATATTTTCTGCTTTAAAATAGTAATTACTGTAAACATGGGTGTCTTGGGTTTAAAAAAAATATATATATATATATACTACACAGTACTTGCAAGGGCTTCCTTGTCTAAGTTGGCTGTGTATATAGTAGCCTACAGTATGTTGTCTGTTTAAGCAATGTTTACTGTTATAACCAAAGCCTCAATTATTTGCATCACATGATTGAGAAGAGCAAGCACCTGTGTTTTTATTTTGAGAAACGGGTTGCTAAAATTTATGCTTGTGGTTTGCCAAGACAAGTGTGTATGAGGTGCCAAAGTTAAACGCATCACTTCCCCCCTCTCTCTCTCTCTCTCTGTCTCTCTGTCACTCTCTCTCTCTCACTTGTTTATCCTTCCTGTGTCTTATCAGCAAGAAAAACCTCCATTTAAGTTGCAATTATTGAGCCTTTCTGCATGCTACAGAAGACCTCTTCCTGTGTCCTCCGTTATCAGACATTGATTAGATTAACTACTGACATAGTGAGATGGGAAATAAGATGGCCTCTGTTGGCAGAGACCAGACTCCGTTTACAACCTTCCTTAAAGTTTGGCCAAAATCATACGATATGCAAGTACATGAATGCTTCCAAGCTCAGTTTTGCACCGCAGTGGCCACCTATAGCAGGCGTTAGCATGAACTGTCTTCTTCTGCTGTCATTTTTCTCTTTTTTTCAACTGCTATCATGCTGGAATAAAAGTTTGAAGTGAATCTTGTTGAGCAAGTTACAGTCAGTTGACCTGTTAGCATGTTTATAGCTAACTACTACTTGAATACAACAAGTACACACAACAGGAATGCATGCTTGAAATGCATTGGCCAAGCATTTGTATTTGTATGTATTTTTCAGTGTTTTCTCACTCTGAGTCGCATGTTTCCTTTCTAACACTGCACTCACCCCTGTCAGTGTCAATAAATATTACCCTTTCATTCCCATATCTATGGCTATATCCCCTTAGTTTCTCTCTCTCCGCTACCTCTTTACCACAAAAATGGTTCGCGTTCTGGAGCTAGAGCCTGTTCTTGGCCAATTCTTAGCCAGAAGAACTACAGCCTGTTGCAAACCGGCTGCGTTTTTGTCCACAATCTAGAAAAAATGGACAGTGATATAATGCTTCTAAGTGTTGTTTACCTGACTATAAACCAGTGTGGAAACAAACACTTTTAACTCCCTGAGGACCAGAAACGCGTCTCCGTTTTTTTCACCTAATTATCGATTATTAATTATTATATATAGAATCACCTAATTATGCATGATGAGGGCTGGCCTGTTCACGCCTATTCGCATATTGTCTTGGCAAACAAAAAATGTTTTTCACAATATAACCCAATTCACAGTTTTATGTGAAAGATTAAGCAGGATGATTTTCAGATCATTGTAAAGAAAAAAACTCCACAACATCCATTAGTCAAAAGTCTTGTGGACGCATATTTACTATGTGTTTTGTGGCCTTATTTCAGAAACGTTCATTTTTAGTTTTTTCAATAACCACACATAAACAATATCCTCTCAAAAATACAAACATGTACAATACATGTTGCTCACATATTATGGTAGCCCTGTTTGTGCTAAATATAGTGTAATTACACCTGTGCTAATAATATGGTTATAAGCAGCTGAAAAAAAGCGTCAAAACATCTCAAGGACCCCAAATACACCTTGATCCCCAGGGGGTTAACTTGGTGTTTGTGCAGGAAACAAGTGCAGCACCTATGTTTTGCTTTTCAAAGTACCTGGAGTGATTCTAGTGTACCTGCAGCTCTCATGTACGCCGCCAGAGTTGAGCCGATCTTTCTGGCCTGGAACCCCCTTTCATGCGTTGGAAACGTGTAGAACGGTTCAAGAATTGGAACTGACCTGGAATCCGCACACAAACCATGTTGGTGGAAAAGTGCTTTGTGTCTGTACACTCTCTCTACTGTCCTTTGGGATTAGTGGTACTTAATGGGTTGCAGATGCCTGCTGCTAGTGCGGTTGTTAGTGCATTTGGGAAGCAAATGAGTGTGTCTGCATTAATGTGGAGAAGGAATGCCACCGTCAGCACTCTACAATGGTGGCACATCAGTGACCCCAAATAGACTGGTTGCAGATAGCCTGGGAATCTATGTCCTCATACACTGAACTTTTATTTATAGCTTTTATAAGATGCATGTTGCAATTTGTCCCCAGGTATGCATTGCGACTCTTTCACAGAATGGAATTAGTGCTCACTTAATGCATATGATTTAATCCCTGGGGTTGTTTAAAACTAGGCCAGAAAAGTGCCCTTTTTCCACACAGTGCCACTGGATTAATTCATCACTGGCGGTTGCTGGAGCAATCATAATAATGATTAATGATTGGGCTTGTGCACACCGTTTAAACTACTGATAAGGGCATAGCCTGACCGGGAAAGGAACTATGACATCAACGCTTGGATACCCTCATGCCCAGGGAGGTGCGTTCCATCCAAAAACCCTATCTTCCTGACACTGTTCTGATTGGGCAGGTCAGGCTCTCCTGGATAGAATATCAGAGAGGTTTTTTGAGTAGGTTAGAGAGTCAAGGGAGATGATGTAGTGTCGTTTTCCATGACCGGTCATGTTGATCCTTTTGCACCGTGCTTTGCTGTTTCTTTATCTTTACAGGAGCCTTTGGTGTGTGCATGTGTGTGGCCCGTACAGGCATTAAGCACAGGATTAGAGGACCACTTTGTGTTTAAACTAGATGAGTCTTGTCCCCTCCTGTGCTTTATACCTTGTCTATAGGGGCTCTTTTAGAGGCCTGGCAGGAATCAGGGGTCGGATTACATTATTTGAGGTTGAGTGGACCCCATCCAGTTGAACCATAGTGGTTGAACATAAAACCATGATATCTCATTTAAAGCACATCTTTATTACTTATCCCTGAGTTTAGAAATTAATTACATTAAAATTAAGTATGTGGCTAAATGTTTTGGATGTTTTTCTGTTCTTGTCCTTGCAGGATCGGAAGCTGTCAAAATCTGAGCGGCAGCGCTTCAAGGAAGAGGCCGGCATGTTGAAGGGCCTGCAACACCCGAACATTGTCCGTTTTTACGACTCATGGGAGTCGCCTTCCAAAGGCCGCAAGTGCATTGTGCTGGTGACTGAGCTCATGACGTCAGGAACCCTAAAAACGTGTGTAGAATATGTTTGTTTCACTTTCTTATTATATTGTCTGTCCATCATATGTTTGCCTAAAGAATGAAAAATGTTATTTTGTTAGTATTGTGGTATTATGTACAGGATGTTGTTCAGTCGCAATTTTTTGCAATTTAAAACGTCCTTTGGGGTTAATATTTTATTGTGGTACTACATTCAAATGAACAACCTTTTCATCCGCCTCATGTCCATCACCAGAGTTGTTGCCAGAGTGATTGCAGGCCAAGAGTGGCATGTCACCTCCATGTGAGGCATGCATTTTTGGTACTGAACAGATGCTGGAGCTTCAGACACATACTGGACCAGCAGCCCCCTCCTGTGGATGTGTGTGGGCTCTGACATGCACATGCACTTATGAAAACCCACGTAAATACTGATACCTGACTGCAAGACAATATAAGGTCATATAATAGAACTTATCAGGTTATCAAATTTATTTATTTTTGATTTGTGCCCACTGGGAGAAACTATAAATAATGCAGGAAGATTGATATACTCAATATAATTGGTTTACTGAATAAATCTGGGTTGTCCGTTTAACATAAGAACATATTTATAAATTTGATTGTAATCATTTGTTGACATGAGTTTTTTTATACAACACGTCCCCATCAAGATCTATAATCCTTAGAGCCTCAGTTTCGCTCAATTATCTATCTCATACACAGCTCACAGGAACACCAGAGAAAGACAGTGGAGGAGAAATGGGGAGATAGTGTGAAAAAGGGACAATGATAAACAGTGTCAGGCTTGCTTTGTGTTCATCAGCTTTGGCATCCTGGCAATGTGTGGTGTTTGCTTGGCTTCTCCTACACCTCAAAGATAAACAGTGATCAAGAGGTCAGGTAGAAATGGAGCATCCCACAGACATAGACATGCCATGCCTAAACTAGTCAGTGTTCTCGGTTTTGTCTGGGTCACTAAAGACATAACAACTCACTAGAGTTTTGTACCTCTTCCTGTCCTTTTATGTTGGCATAAAAGTCCCGGTTCCCTGGTTCGCATTCAAATCCAACATTTAGGACAGAAACATACTCTTCACAAAAAACTAATTCAAATAAATCTGACAATCAAAATTCCTAATATTTCTTGAATGTTTCAGGCCTGAGACTGTTTATGAAGTTCAGAACAGATTGTTTTAAATGACTTCAATGTTTCAAGAAGTGCGGAGAGAGTTGTTGGTATAGCTGGAAAACAGCCTGGTTGGGTCCTCTGGGAACCACTGGGTGTGTTGAGTGATGAGAAAGTTTTGAATCAGGCTTTGTTGCTCTATCCTGTATCGCCTCGGGACTTACCCTTGGCTCCGTTCCCACCTGTCAGTCAGCCGCCACACTCCATCAAAGCTTCCCTGAACCACCGCCCACCTCCTCCCATTGGGCAAAGCACTACTATAGCTCGCTTCAGTCTTACTAAGCAAACTACAGAGCTAATATGTTTACACAGAAATGCTTGACTTGCTAGATATATATATCTTCACATGCGCCTGCAAAACCAGTTTTGGCCATTTTTCTATTATAATACTATGAGAAGCATATAAAGAACAGGAAAGGGTTCTGTTTTGAATTCAGTTACGATCACCCATAAACAGATGTTTCTTTGGAAAATTCGTATACGTTCGTATAAGTATACGTTCTGTTTTGCTTGTGCCCATCTTCACCTAGGATATGGGCGCCTGAACTGAGTAGATTGTTGTAATGAGGATTACAATGCCAAATCCTGTCTATGGCTTGGCTCCAAGATATGATTTGGCCAAGCTAATCTATCTGAAGTGCTGTACTACCGTCCTTACGCTGTCCTCTCTTTTATTTGGGACTTTCTCTGTCTCACAGAAGAGAATACAATTGTCCAAATGGATGCTTCCAGACCCAGACCCATCATCATGAAATAGTTTAATTCCCCCTGATCCTCATATGGGCTGAACTGAGATCTAAGTTTTATCATTGATTTTCATTCCATTTATGGTTTCATTGGTTGAAATTTCCCAGTCATGACCGCCAAAACAGAGAGACACGTATCATCTTCCGTTGACACATATGCTGTTTGTTTTTACTCTGTCAAGGTCTTAAACAAAACCATTATGGCTGTTCAGGGAAGAGGAACGTTGCCCTAATTCTCAACTCTAATCTCTTTGTTCCTCAGGTATCTGAAGCGCTTCAAGGTGATGAAGATAAAGGTGTTGCGGAGCTGGTGCCGACAAATCCTCAAGGGCCTGCACTTCCTCCACACCAGAGCTCCTCCCATCATTCACCGGGACCTTAAGTGTGACAACATCTTCATCACCGGGCCCACCGGCTCCGTTAAGATCGGCGATCTGGGTTTGGCCACCCTCAAGCGCTCTTCATTCGCTAAAAGTGTCATAGGTACGACCCATCGTTTTATCTTTCTTGCTTTCCCCACCTCCCAAGTCAGTTCACCATGGCTTTTATAATTCAAAAATATGTGTCATGTCACTGCTTGTCTTTTCAGTGATGAGGTGAAATTGGGAAGGTGGGGCATTTGCTATCAGTTACGCTCAGATATTTAAGGCATGCTGTAGCTCTGAGCTACACTGTTCACCTTAGACCACAGTTTTCCAGCCAGCCAATTGCACTCGTTTTAATTAGGGGTGGAGACGAGGGAAAACCAGAGAAGAACTTCTTATAAATTGGGGGAACACCTTTAGATCCTGCTTTTTCCCACCTGGGACTAATTGGCCTGTGAATACAACAGGTGAAAACACTTTAAGTTTCCATAAACTCTGGGGTGTTTTGGGTAATATATGCCTTGAAAATAAAAAACAAAGCCACATGATGCTTTGTTAGTAAGTCTGCTATGAGGATTTTTTGCATGTGATGTTAACAGAATAAACATTTTGGTCTGGAACCTGTGGTCTATAATAATTACATTTCTAGAGATTCTCTTGCTGCCAGTAATGTCAAACATCTTTTTCCAAAGGTTTTCCTGATCGCCTCATCCTTTTCAAATGGTTTAGATATTGTGATAAGTTTCTTTCTGGATCCCTTTTCTCTCCGTTTCCTCCAAAATTTACTTGTTTCCATTTTTTGTTTTTTTTTTTTTTTTTTTTTTCTCCTGGTTTTTGAGAATTTTTTCCTTTTAAACTGTAGGGCTATAATCTCAGCTGGTCTCACTCCACTGTATGGATTATTTAATGTCCTGCAGTTCAGTAAGTATTCAAAAAAAAACAAAATGGCAAGTAAGTGGTAAGTCAACAAGCAACCTACCCCAAAAAACGGAAAATTTGAAATATGAGTCTATATTTTAGCTCGTTTTTCTGTGCAAGGCCTTTTAACGCACGCTAGTGCACGAGAGTCTTTGCTCACTAGCTATGGGCTTGCTCTGTGCATAAACCTACTTAACATTCTCCCATTACAGGCAGAAAGGTGAGTCGGTCATGTGTTTTCCATAACTGTTGTTGACATAGATCAAGTTCCATAGCTAGTCGCCCACCGCTGTCCAGTTCCTCATTTAATGTGTCGGCGGCACAGCCGTGTTGTAAAGTTCAACACGGTTTTGAAGGCCATCAATCAGCTCTAAAACTAACCTGCACCAACGCATGTGCGTCTGTCTTAAATCAACTTCTTGTTTGCGAGATGACGCTTGGCTGCTTGGTGCACTAGTCTGACGTGCTGACAGACAGTAGAAAACCTAAAGGCCTTGCAGAGAAAAACTGGATTATTTCACTGCTAAATAACTGAGGCCGGTTTTCCCCCTTCCTCTTTTTTTTTTGTTGTCCTTTTCTCCATATCTTTTGCTCCCCCTCTTTCTCTCCTCTCAGGGCCGTATGGAGCAACAGTGCCATTGTCCTCCTCCTCTCTCCCTTCCTCTCCCCGGCCCTGCTGGGGTGAGTAGAGATCTCAGGCACTGAGAGTTCTGAATGGTTCTTTTGATTTAAGGTACCCCTGAGTTCATGGCGCCTGAGATGTACGAGGAAAAATACGACGAGTCGGTGGATGTGTACGCCTTTGGAATGTGCATGCTGGAGATGGCAACCTCTGAGTACCCGTACTCCGAGTGTCAGAACCCCGCTCAAATCTATCGCAGAGTCACCAGTGTGAGTACCCTCGCACACCTCTGCTAGCTCTCCATCCCTCTATCATTTTGGGTATTTTTCTCTCTCTCCTTCCGCTATAATCTTCACCAGCTCTGTCATTACGCCCACACATTCCTCAGGCCTCTGCTTATGAAATAATTCAATAAAAGCAGCTTTTTCTGTCGCGCTCACTGAAACCTTTATGTAAGCAACATATAACTATGTCAAACAATTACATAGTTTTGCACTAGTCTAGGAGCAGGCGGTATGTCCAAAATTGTTCTTTTATATAATAATAGCAGTATATATCAGTATAAGATTTTTGGAAAGTCTCACAAGACTGCTTTTATTTTGTCAAAAAAATGATATTATATTTTCAGTTTGATATATTTGAAAATGTCATTCATTCCTGTGATGGCAAATCTGAATTTTCACTTACTACAGTCTTCTAACATGGTGATCTGGTGCATAACAAACATTTCTTGTTATAATCAATGTTGATGTGCCGCTTAAACGTTTTGTGATAAACTGTGATATCATTTTTTCAGGATTCTCTGATGAATAGAGATGAGTTATTTGAGCACATATTTGAAATAAAACTCCTTTGTAACACTATAAATGTGTTTACTGTCAAGCTAAGCCCTCAAAACCTCAAACTTTTGAATGGTGTAGTTATCATTGTTGGACATAAATGAAAAAATAAAGGTTAACTGATCATTGTGATTTAAAATTCTGATTGGATGAGCCACTTTCAATCAAAAAAACTCACTTTATGATGCACCACTTAAGATCTTCCTCATTTTGACCAGTTTTCTGGTTGCCTAACCTTATCCCAGACCCACCCAGTAAAATGTAATTGTCCAAAAGTAAAACCATTGGATATCTGGATATCTAAGGTCTTTTTTTTTTTTTTTGCCAGCCGCAATAAAATGTTTGGCTTTAATTAAATCTGCTTTACAGCCGTCACTGATATCAGCTTGTAATGCGTCATGTGTTGACTTTCCATGAAGTCAGACTCTGGCTCGAACAATCGCTTTCTCCAGCTTTAAAGTTATTTGCTTCATGTTTGCCTGATTAGATTCATTTGAACTCAAAATATTCCAATATTTCAGTTTCTCAGGGATTTATTTATTTCAGACCTCTTTTAAGCCATTGTGATGTAATTCTCATTGAAAGTGGATAAAATTGTCCATCTATTTATGTTGTTGTCAGAACAATCGAGGTTAGTGTCCCTGAGAGTACGGCTATATATATATATGAATCCAAGACCATTGTTAGAAGGCTGGAAAAGGCCAGTCATGTTACTCCAGTTTATAAATTGAATCAGTTTTTCCCTTCTTTACTGTCCTTTAATATCATTGGCAGAAAGGAGGAGGAGGGAGTACAAGGCAGTCATATGCGTTTTTATTCTCGTTCAGGTCAATAGGGTGATCATATGATGCTGGAAGTTGAAAATATGATCAGTAGAGGTTGAAAACAGCTGTGGTAAGCCAATAAGGGGTTCACCAGTAGGGAGCAGTACTGATTCTCCTGAATCCTGTGTCTATTTGACTGTTTTTGACAGCTTGAATGCTTTTGTTAATCAAAACATCGATTTTCTTGTTGTTTTCATGAATAAAAGTGTACGTTTTCAATAAGAACAGCTCTGGATATAGCAAATGTCCTGAACGCTGGAGTGTAAAAGGTTCTAGAGGGCTTTTGTTTGGTCAACATGGTGGTACAGCTAAATAAGTAAACAGCACTCTTGAGTTATCTCTTTCTACCTGTTAGCTTTGGAAAGTGCAGGGCACATCCTATATTTCACCACTCCAGTTTTGTCCAGCTGTCTGGAAAGCTTCCGTCCACCCTGCCTGAAGGCTTTTTAATCTCATGAAATCCAATCGCACATGCACAACAGTTCACTGAGAGAAGCAATTTAAGCTTTACGCAATCAGAAAGCATTTTAAGCTCAGTGGACCCGAGGTTGCCCTTACAGACAGATGTGGGACTTTTCCCATCTCGGCCCAGAGTAAATGCTTTCATCACAATGAAACGGTTTAGATTTGTGTTTGCAATTTGTGCGTGTAATCTCAAAGCAGTTGGAGTGGTTTCGAGCTGACCATTTTACTGAAGTGTCCATGGAATGGTCTGAATGCAATGTATTATTGTTGTGGTTAAATTAAAGCATAGCACTGGACAGTGTTCACGTTTATTCACTCGAAAATTGTTTTGTCACAACAGTGGTATCAGATTTGGGGTGTAAAATCATATGAATGTTGTCTATGACTGCGCATATTACACTTGATGTAATATCATGCATGCACCATTTGTCCTATAGACATGAATGATACCTTAAAATTGTGCAGCTTGAGTAGACTTATTGATGACATGAATGAACTGAATCACATGAATATCCATAATATCGGATATAATGTACCAGTCATTTGTCTGTATCTTTCAGCCCTTTAAAGTAATTTTAGTGTGTGGCCTTGAAGGAGTTCAACCAGAAAATTGTTTTCTTCAGTATGTTTATGAGTTGGATAAGAGTAGAAGTTGAAGATTGCCTTTGTTCCTTTTTTACATCCACCTCCAGCTGTTCCAGGAGCCTTCCTCTCTTTCTGCTTTGTTAAATACAAATTGCTTCTAATTTTCTGCTTTTGTTAACTGGTTGGAGAGCGGAGGAACAGCATGTATCTGGCTTTAGAGGACCCATTCACAGCGTCCTAACAAGCTTTTTAAATCACCTTGTTATCGGAATACTTCACCATTCTGGCTTAATTCTGTTAGATGCTCTGTCATCCTTAACTTTGTTTGGCACTGGAATTTGAGGGGGGTTACAGACTTATATAAGGAGGTAATGCTGAGACAGGGGGAGTAATAGTTCAGGAAGACCACTCTGTAAAGCAACACAGTGTTCAAGGATTTCACTTGTAAGTTTCTTGCACTCTTTTTGTCTTGGGTGGTTTTGACAGCATAGCTCTAGGTAGGGTTTTTTTTTATGTTAAATGATTTTGAAAAGGTTATTTCAGAATTTCAAAAATAAAAATGTGGAGAAAGTAGCTGATTCTTTTTTTATTGTTGCATGGTAGAGATGTTAGTTTGACTCTACAAATCAGAACGGATTTATTGCAAAGTGAAATTTAATACAATTAACCCCAAGATAACCAACTTTTTGCTTGTATTCTTAAAGGATTGAAGTGAATGACAAATTTTCATCAATATTTGATAGTAAAATTGGCTTTTGGTAGAGTGAAACTCTCATCTTGCATTAGATATTGAAATAATCTATAGAGTAACTCTGTGTCAGTGTTTTTATTTGATCTCAAATTAGGAGTTTTTGATTTAAATCAATGAATAGTTGATTAAATATATTGTCATTGAGGTACTAAAGTCAAAATAAATATTTTTATATATATATCTTGGAAATATTATTCAGAATAATTATTCATAGTTCAAATTTATTTGTAAAGTGCTTTTCAGGGTTTGAAAATTCACGGCTTAATGAATTCAAGCATTCCCGATGACTAAAAAGGTAACTGTTCAGCAAAATCAAATAACTTTCCAGATAAGCAACTGTATCTATAATGTCATGCGTTTTTATAATGCAAACCACATTTACACTTACCCCATCAAAAAAAAAAAAAAAAACGGTTATCAATTGTAATATTTGCGTGTTTAGGGATTTGAAAAAAAAAAATAACCCTATGTATTAAACTGACTCATCTTCTGCCATTTTTGGGCATTTGTGGGATTGATCAGATGATTTTCACCTGGCAGGCATTAAAGCGTAAAAAGCATGCATCATATGTATTTTTGAAGAGTCCATGTGGAGCTCCAAAAGGGTTTCTTTCACAGCGTAAAAGACATGTTGATCTAAAGTTATTCTGTGTTTCACCCCACAGGGAGTTAAACCTGGCAGTTTCGACAAAGTAGCCATTCCAGAGGTGAAAGAGATCATTGAGGGATGTATTCAGCAAAACAAAGATGAAAGGTAAGACTGTGCCTACTACACACGCCCACGCCGTATTCACAGAACTCATTCATCTAGTCATACCTCAGTTCTCAGCGACGTGTGGCATGAGTCTGCCTGCAGATGCGCTGAACTCGTGCTGACGTGAGGGTATATCACATCCTCTGTGCGCAGTAGCAGCAGATAAGCGGATTCCCACACGCCGTTTTGGAAATATTCCAGCAACAAGCCACTCAGTGATACAGATCTGTGATCACGCCAAGCCAGCGTAGAGTGTGCCACAGCAAAACATAAGCCCTGACCAGACTGCATTCTTTTAAAGTCCTTTTTAGAGCAACTACCTACAGTAAACGTCTAAGTCAAAACTGTGGTTTTGTGTTGATAATATGTATTTTAAATTAGCTTTATCACCATTTGAAGTGTAAAGTCATAAAGCTGACGTTCTGGTTTGCTTAAATGCATAAAACAATTAATGGAAAATCACAAACAGCATGTCGAGCGTAAGGTGAGATGACGTCTGATGTTCCGCTGATGAAGCACTTGGAAAAGCTGATGTCTACTGTACCCAGCTACTCAACAGAGCTCACTTCAGGGTTTTTTTTTCCTCCTCAGTGTTAAAGGTCTGTCTTAGTAAAAAAAAAAGATTGTGCAATCTTATCTTTTTACCCTTATATGTATCATTCCATGCAGGTGAAATGGATCAGCTCTTTTGAAATGTTAGAGTAGTTGGGGCATTTTCTGTACAAACTTCCTTGGTGGTTTAATGCGTTGGTCTTTGCTAATCATAGATTCTCTCTAATATCTCCTGTTTTTTAGGTGATGAGTTGTTGGGTTGTGAATGGACAATGAGTTTGTACAATAAAATTGTAATGCAACAGGATGGAATGTTGCATAGGATGTTTATCACCACACGGTCTGGGGATGATTCAATTAAATTCATGCGACATCACCGTAGAATGCATCACCAAGTTATCTAACTTTCCTGGAAAGGATCAATTTGATCATCATGATACAATCAAATTCAAGGCCTCGGGTTCTCTATATTTCAAATTTATTTTGCCTGTTTTCACTTATTCTGAATCAACCCCATTCAGTGACTTTTTGTTTGTTTTTTACTCAATCCTGTAAAACCCCAATGTTCCACCTTGTGCCTCTAAATCAGTTTAAATGTGATTTGCTGATCTTTTTTTCAGCCATGTGCTTCTGCATTTGTTTGTTTTATTGATCAGCTACCCTTATTTAACGTATTTTGCCTTGTTTGCTTGTTAAAGTGAATTTTGCTCCTTCCTTAACAGATACGCCATCAAGGACCTTTTGAACCATGCCTTCTTCCAGGAGGAGACTGGGGTGCGGGTGGAGCTGGCTGAGGAAGATGATGGGGAGATGATCGCCATCAAGCTCTGGTTGCGCATTGAAGATGTCAAGAAACTGAAAGGCAAATACAAAGACAATGAAGCCATTGAGTTTTCCTTCGACCTCCATCGAGATGTCCCAGAAGATGTGGCTCAGGAAATGGTGGGTTTATCAGCGAGTTTCTGAATCTAAATGTTGCACACAGAGATGGTAACATATGCTGTGTCTAAATGCAGGTTGAGTCGGGCTATGTCTGCGAGGGTGACCACAAAACCATGGCGAAGGCCATCAGGGACCGTGTTTCTCTGATCTGCCGCAAACGAGAGCAACGGCAGCAGGTGCGAGCAGAGCAAGAGAAACGCAAGCAAGAGGAAGAGCAGAAGCTGTTGTCCAGCGAGTCGTTGAAGAACGTGGTCGGCCCTTCTGCACAGAGCCAGTGCGGTTCCCAGCCTCCGACTCCTGGCTTTGTCCAGCCCGAGTGTGAGGAGCCCGATGCAGACCAGCAGCTTCAGTACATGCTAAGTGGAATGACCTGTAAGTGTTATATACAACCCATCTGGATTGATTTAAATGTCATTCCTCTTTAATAATGAATGTCATATCTTTTCCCAGCGGCCGACGTGACGCTTGAGAGTGGTCAGGGTTCATCCGTGTTCTCAGAACCTCACCTCAGCCAGCTAAGCATGTCGTATAGTTCTCCTGCAACATCGCAACAGCAGCAGGTGCCTGGACAGGGCGCCTACCCTCCCAGCTCTCAAGCTCCCCAACAGCACACCGGATACCCCCAGCAGCCCATGGTAAGTCCCAGAAAATGAAAGGCCAAGTCAAGAACTCACCACCTAACTGAGATCACAGCAGGTTACATTTTTGCATCCTTAATCTGCTCCTGTGAGGCCGTTTTATGAAGCCACCGCCTACTGACGAATTCCAAACTGCTTATGTTATTATATTCCAGTAGCAATTTTCCAACCAAAACAGTGAACACCACAAAACTTGCACAAAAGCTGTTGAAGATATTCTCATTAGGTGCAGGAAACGTCAAAGCTTTGAAATTGGGCCTAAACTAGTGGTTCTCAACCTCAACCTCAATGGCCACCCATTGTCCAATACAATATTCAATGGGTTTTTGTTATTTCTGCTGTAATTATGACAGAGATGCTTGTTTTCAAACTTTATTTATTAACGTAAATTGAGTATTAATATATTAAATTAATTAGACACAATTTGTTTGGTTATTCCTGAAGTTTTTAAGAGTTGTATGTTAGAATATCTATTAAAAACAATATTTATTAAAGAAATATTCAGTTTATACAGTTTACATCTTGATTTTATGTTTATGTATCTCTGTCTTTTCACTGGTTGTTACAGAATATGTTTTAATGTTTGAATAGAAAATTAAATAAACATTTAAATAGAGAAATAAAGATTATATAAAAAGAAATGCAAATAAACACTATATCAGGCTTAAAATTAGAAGAGCATGTTTATAGATACAAATAATAAATCACAATAACAATGACAACACAGTGGAAAACAAGAAACAAGTCTTAAAATGCGCTTAAAACCTGGCGTTATTATTATTGACAGGTTAATTCAGAATCATGTGGCCATATGTTTACCTTCAATCTCTTTAGTTTAAATGTCTGCATCAGTTTCCATAATTTTTCATCCTGTACAAAGGTAAGCTAATGAAGCAATACGGATGGAGATGAGCGTCATGTAGCCTTGATTGAGTAACAAATGAATCATGAATTAATGATCTGTTCTTGTTTGACATTTGAATATGATTTATTTGTAGTTGCATGTGTTTAGAGTTTAATGATCGTTTGTTATTATCAGACACTAAATGAATGATGCATGAGAATGGAGACCAAAGCCAAAGCCACAGCCTTCTCAGCTCTCTCTCTCCCCACGTGTATTTGAGCTGCCACTCCCTCTTCACCCACTATGCATTTTAGTACATTCTTTGGGTTACTTTACCTTATTTGTTTTTATTGGTTTCATATCAATATCATGCAGACTGGTAGGCATCCATCACTTCTTGTTTCTGTTTAGTGTCAAGCTGTATGTTGTCCTGGCATCCTGGGCACAGTTTGGCTCATCAGTGTCAAGGCATGCATAGATCTTTCTCAGGGAATTAGATTTCTTTTTACGTTTCTCATCTCTTCTCGCTCATTAGTTTTGAATTATTTTGCATCATTTTCCAATTTCCTGAAATACTTTATAAATAAGCACACGCCTTTATCTCTTTTTATTACACTATTTTTCTCTGGTTATTGCTTCTAATGATTTATTTTATAACAATGATTTTTTTTTTTAAATAAATACAGTCTTATCTGACTTTGACTTGAAATGGTTGCCTATTTGTTAAGACTAAGCGATAAAGTGATATTAGAAGTCTGCATGGCATTCATGCATTTTTATTTTTGTTCTTCTGTTTTCTACACAATATGCTGTTCTTTGCGGTATTTGTTTTTACTGTATATATTCTCTACATACTTCTGTTTATGTTGTTCTTTATCATTAAAAAAAATATTTTCTGTGATGTTTTCATGGACTTTGCCAACATACAGTACATTGCAAACATGCAGTTTGCGACTACATAGTAGACTGTCTATGCTGTAGATTTCTTGGATCGTGATCTCTGAATGCTTCTTAAGCAATGACAATCGGCAACAAAATCTGCTCGCAATTCATGAATCAGGTTTTGGTATTCTGTCACATGCAATCATTTCATAGCACAAATGTTTCTGATAACGTGTCATTGTTAAAACATCATGAATCATCGATTGAACCAGGCTCATTCTTTTTGTCTTACTCGACAGCAGATTTGACCCTTTGTAGGTCAAGATTTCTTGTAGATCAATGCTGTTATTTTTCCGTCTATCGTCCTAGAATATGATGTTGATATTTAATCTTGTATCAAATGTTTCTTTATAGTTTCCTTTTGGTTATTTGGCTTTTGTTCTTTTTGTGTCATTTGTGTTCCATTGTGGTTAATAGACAATTCCCCTCCTTCGTCTCCAGCCTCCTCAACCTCTCCCCCGTCGTCGTGGTCGTAGCATGTCTGTTTGCGTGCCCTGCTTTTCTACCACTTCTGCTCTGTCGTGTCCTCCCAAGCCACCTTCCACCCCTCCTCCAGTCGCGTCAGCCCCACTCTCACCCCGACTGGGTAGGCAAGATGGGGAGACGTTTGCGGGTCGATTGTCTAAAGCACTGGAGAGCGTCCTGCCCCTTCACTCGGCCCCACCCCGTCGCCGTGCCAGCCTCCCAGCAATCTTTGCCAGTCCTGTATGTTAGTGTCTCCCAGTGAACCAGGGTTCTCCCACTGAGCTGGACTTGGGTACAACCCGGGTATCTGTAAAGAGTAATTGTATGAATCTTATGTAATCTAAAAATTGATTAGGGCAAATGTTCACATCCCTAATATCAAAAGAAAGACCAAAGGTGTGATCTAAAAAATGTAAATGGAACTTAATACATTATTAAATCAAAGTGCGCCATTCAGAATCCAAGAACATTGAATTTAAACCCAACTATCTCATAATGCCAAGCTATATCACACTGTTAACGCAAAAACTATTATTGGACCATTTTTCAAAATCCCTAGTCCCAAATCATAAGAGCAATTTTACAAATTAGCCGCTGTGTACTGAATGACGAGTGTAAATAGCTTGTTTACAGTATATCTTCTCTTGTAAGTTAAAATCTCAGGGTTGCTTTTTTACTGATCTTAAAACCCCTTTCAAATACCCGTGTTACCCCGGACCACTCCGCTGGAACCCTGTGCTCACATTAAATACAGATTGCCATGAACTGCAATCATTAAAATAGTTTCTTGGCCCCACAGTCTGTGAAGCATCTGTATTTAATTGAAAATCTGTCGCTGTCATGTTTCTACAACTCATAAAGCATTTAAACATCTCTTGATTTATTCTATTGTCATTGAGACATCTTTGCCTGATGGGATGAATATTGTCTGCTGTTTTTTTCACTTATCTTTTTATTTTCTCTCTCTCTTTCTGTTTTTCTTCTTGCTTTGTGAATTTTATGATGCTGCCTTTTCTACTTCCTCACAAAGATGCTGTATGTTATTGTCACTGCAGCCACAATCAGTGAGTCAGCCGTACGGTGGAGTAGGCTCAGGTCTGGTCGAGCCCCCGCTCTTTTTCCCCACCATCCCGGAACGGCCCGTCTCATTCTCCCCTCCGCCATCTTGCGCGCCTAAAGCTTTCAATGTCCAGAGGCGCAAGAGCACCTCCATCCTAGAGGCCCACACTCGTCACTTCCAGCCCGCCTTCCACCGCAGCTACGGCAGCAGCCTGCACCCGTTCTCTGGCGTGGAGGCCCTTGGTGTCGGCGTCGAACCCGCCATGTTCATGATGCCCGGGATAGCAGCTCAAAGATTGGCTGAGCCGCTTCACCTACAGCCCCCAGCGGAGTCGCTATATGGATATAAGGATATGAGGGCTGAGCAAGAGGAAACTGTACGCAGACTCAGCCTCAACCAGGCTGCATTAATGGACCATCTTGAAGCCATGGCCTACGGTGGCTACCCTATGACTGCACATCAGATAAGCCAGATCACCTTCCATCAGCAAATGCAAGCTGCTGCTGCGGCCGCCAGCTTGGCCTATGAGACTCAATCACAGCCTGGGACAGCTTACCTACACCCTCATGTCCAAAGCCACATGCGCTTAACCCACAGCCCCATTCCGCAACTACCTACCATGAGTGTGTCTAGCTCCACCTCTGCGCCCCAGCAAACCGCACCTGCAGATCCAGGCTATCAGCCCCACTCGTTTCCCCATTCCGCACCACCCGTGCTGGCTCATGCATCTGAGCCGAGCACCGCCTTTGAATTCCACATGCACAACCTGCAGGCTGACCCAGCCATGCTGGCATCCAGACTCTACCGAGCCCGTAGGGGCTCCATGGACCTTAACCTGGAGGAAGCGGCTGGAAACCCGGGATTGTGCAGTCGACTGCAGCCCGTCACTGAAGAACTGTACAGCTATGTGAGCCCGGAGATGCCCCTTCCTCCAGGCAGCCTGCTTCTCCATGGACCGAAAGAGCTCAGTCCTGAGCCTTCAAGCGACTCCATGACCTCCTCCGATGCTGGGGAGTTCCAATCGCCTCCGCCTCATCAACTGTACCAACCTCAAGACTGTTCTGCAGCTCAATCCATCCCACAAACTTCTTACTACAAAACGGATGGCGGGAGCAATGTCAGCGACGGACACCCACCTAGTCAACCGGTGTTTCTATTCGTTCCACCCTCTGAAGCGTCCACCGTTCCATCTTCACACATCAGTGCTCTGCACACCACCTGGGCTCGTCAACCATCTCTTCCACTGGACGTCACATACCACGAGCCTGCCTTGTCCCATCAGGGAGCTACCTTGGTACCTAGAAATACTTGTTCTCGTCCACCTTTCCCAAGCCCTCCCTGTCTCTCTCTCAGTTACCTGATTTATTTTGTCCCGTGGTTGTGGTTTTAACCCTCTCCAGCCATAATTTAGGGCTCATAAAGGTTCACAAGGTGCATTGAGCATAAACCTGCTCTTTAAATCCCCTTGTACTAAGACATTTATGTATCTTCCATTAGACTGTGTGTTTTGTTTCCATTTATTTTCATTTTCGATGCCCGTTGTAAGTATTATTTTGTGTGTATGTTCATATAATGGTGTATATGATACTTGTGTGTTTGTACAGATATCATGTAAAACTACTTATCTGTACATGACATACGAATCTGAAATTTAGTTCGCCTCATTCAAATTTATTTATTGAAAAAAAAAAACCTAAAATAGTGGAAATATCTGGGTTTTTTTTTTAAAGGATTGGAAGATAGATACGTCACTTTTGTAAAAAGAGGCTTGAATGCAGGATTTGTATGGCCAAACACACAGACACATACAACACAAACAGGGGGTTTAGACAGGTTTGCTTGTCTCTTTAAGGTACCTATAATCTTGCTTTTAATGTTTCTTACAAAAAAGGTTGTTTTTTGGTTGTATTTTACCTTAACAACTGTTTTTTAGATCTTCTGCTACATTATAGTTGGCTGGAAATGGTTAAAACAGTTGTCTTTGTCGAGGAAACGGCTTGTGATACAGCCTCAGTAAAGAACTACCTGCACATGAACCCAACATTTGTTGGCTACTTATAGGACATTTAACTTCAAAAGCTGAGAAGTCATCTTTTAACCCTTAGAAGGCTGGCATTATCAATGTCATCCTGCAGTCCCATTCTCCGTCCCTATTTTATACACCTTTTCTGCCTCACTTTATCTTTTATACCGCTGTTATTTTCATCCTCTTATCTGCCAAGGCTTCTTATTTCCTACTGCCCTCTAAGCCTCTTGCTAATAATGAACACATTCTTCAGTGTAATGCCAAGGTAAGGTGATCTACGTCTGGAGCAACTATACTTGTCTGTACCTCGTAGAAGAGAAATTGAAGGACAAGTATACTTGTAGCTTTCTAAGGGTTGCTTCTGTTGAAACTCTCCGTGTGGAGGGGAAAGTGGTCAAATCAAGCTGTTAGTGGTCAGGTCTGCTTCCTTGGTTATACAAACAACTCCATATGCTTCCCTGAGCTTTTTTTTTTTATAACATTCACCCAAGTTACAAAATCATGTAGAGTCACATGCATGAAGCCTACTCACTCCCCGGCTAACACCTGATGTTTGTTTGTTGTTTAATCGTGAGATGTGAGGCATACACAAAAAGTGAATAGTGACCTGAGTGCATTGCTCAGTGTTCACATTTTGTGTATGAATGGTCAGTATTTGAAAGTCATTTTTTGTTTTTACTGTAGCCACCAACATGTTTTGACTTTGCCTTTTTTCTTTTTTTTTTCATTTCTCCACCACTGCCATATCTTTCTCTCTCTGTTTCTCTCTCATTTTCTCGCCTACCCCCATATTCCTCTTCATATTCATAACAGGTGCAGGTCCCCATCTCTCAGTCTACAAGTGCCATGTCTATGGTTTCCTGCAGCACCCCAACAGCCGCCTCTGCTTCTCAACAGGTAAGATCAATGACCAATCAGAATCACCTTCCCCCCTTTCATTAGCATAAATAGAGCTTCAATATTGGCCAAGAGACCTTTTTGGGTTTTATTTTTGTTGGTTTGAATCTCTCTGGATTCTCTCCTGCGTGTGAAAGCTGTGGACATCAGAGGTGGCTTTCTCTTATGCTGTGTTGTATTTGTTTCTTATAGTATGGAGTTTACTACGTCCAAGCACTCCCTACGCAGGTAGAGAAAAAACCCATTCCTCTCTTTCTCTATCTGCTTCTTTTACCTTTTCTCTCTCCCTCTTTCTCACATTTGCTGACCTTTCTTTTTGAACTCTTTGCTTTGCCCACTTTAGTTTTGTCATTTCATTATTGCATAATGAGGTATTTAAAAGAAAATGTGGTTGTGTAAGGCTTGGAAAGGAAGCTTGTCGATGTGAGTTATCACATCTTGAAGACCCATATCAAGATCAGTTGGTGTAGTAATTGAATTAAGATTTAGTGTTTGTATGTTGAGTTGTTCTCCAAAGGTAAGTTATTTCAAGTTTTTTTTTATAAATATATTGAAATGTATTAGTTTGAGCAATATGAACAGCATCTGTTGATGATTACCACTGACCATAGTTTTGTCCTTTACGGAGAAGACAAAAATTAAATTTGCAGAAATGCCCTTGATTACAATGAAAGTCTATGGGGCAAGACATTCCGGAGGTTTTTTGTAAGTGTTGGAAATTATGTTAACACTTTATATGTTACTTTTTTTGCTCTTGTGTGTAATGCCTTTCTCCATTGACTTGCATGTCAAGTGCATTGCTGTAAATGAAAATGTAAATGTTTTGTTCATTTTACAAACTAAAGGATGAGTCAAAATTATTGAAATTTTTTTCAAAATTATTATCTTGGGCATGCTGTCTTTAGACTTAATTACATCCTATAGCTGCGAGCAGCGATGAAGGGCCAAAGCCGGCGGTACAACCACGCCGGTGCCTTTATGTAACTAAAGGAACCGGGGTTGCGGTGCCACCGGCTTGGGCCCGTAATCGCTGCTCGCAGCTATATTTTCATCCTGAGCTGATGGGATGAGTTGAGACCAGACTGTATGTGACGTTATCTTAAAATGTACTCGTTTTCCAAGACTTGGTGTTTCCAAAGAGCTTCCGAGCCTAACATCAAGAGGTGAAGTAAATGCTTCATTGGAGAATGCTTGTTCTCTTTTTAGGCTGCTGTTCCGCAACAGACCTCTCTGGTGCTGACGTCCCAACCGGGTGTCTCGCTACCCCAACAGGCTCCCAGCAGTGTAGTTCAGAGCAGCTCTCAGACGCAGGTCCAGCCCGGCCCCCAGCCCACACAGGTACAATCAAATGTGTTTTTAGCAAATCAAGATAGAAGCCAACATAAAATAAAATTAAATCATCTTAATTCAATTTTATATGAAAACAGGTAAAACATTTCTACTGGAACAATTTCTGAAACGTTTATTATTTCAAAATGTATTATTTTACATTACAACTGAAACATTATTATATTTCATGTATACTATTTTTTATTATATTATTTATTAGAGCCAGACCGATATATCGGCAGGCAGATATTATCGGCCGATATTACGCATATTCTTAAATGTCGGTATCGGCAGTTATAATGGCCGATAAATGAATATTTAAAAAATAAAAACGGATGAATCACGCTTCAACCATGAGTGTTGTCAAAAAGTGCAGGTAAAGGGATAAGCAAGCTGACATTGTAATTAAAAGGTAGCTTATAACTATGAGGCAATGTAGGGACTAATTATTATTTTATTTATCAGAACTTTAATATATTTTGATGTTCCTCCGTTCTGTAAAAGAAACAAGTTTCTTTTTAAAATGCATTATCATATTATTTTAATTAAAACTCATAAATAAATAACTAATGTTAGGGAAATCTGTTAATATTTTGTTGCGCGTTTCTGAAATAAAAATAATAATAATATCGGCCGATATATCGGAATATCGGATTATAAAACCAACAAATATTTGTATCGGTATCGGCCTTCAAAATCCTTTATCGGTCTGGGTCTATTATTTATATTTATATATTCCCTCATCTATATCTATCTATCTGTCTGCTCTCTGGAACATTACAAAGTAAATTAAGTTGTATGCATTCATGTTGACTTTAAATATGGTTCATTACTGCGCAGAAGTTGTTTTTTTTCTATATGTTTTACTTTCCTTCTTTTTCTGTGTCAACACTGTGGCTGTCTCTTTCTGAAGTGCCTCAGCTCTGCTTGCTCGTTTGATGGATTGATGTTTTCTGGCATGTTTCTGCCTGTTTGTTGCATGGTTGTCAGTTGCGTTGTGGTGAGATGAGTCCCTCTCTTCGGTTCCCAATGTTTAGGGCAGATCAATTGTTTTCCCTTTAGCTGGAAGTGCAGATACACTGTAGTGGCACAAACAAGTTGTTTATGTGTGGTTGATCTACTTCGGTTGCAAATAACTAAATTGGGTTATATATATTTGATGTGGTGTTGGATTTGGGTTTTGTTTTGAGTGTGTTGTTGACATTGACAGCGTTTATAGGCACTTAGAGAGGAGCCACTCCTAACTTAATCTAATAACCATTTGGCACTAAAACTGTAGTTCGTTTTTCATGTGTGTTTAGCTTGCGGTTGGTGTGATCCTCCGTTCACCCTGTGGCATGTCTCTGTCATGTGGTCTGATCTTGTGATTGTTTTCCTGCGTTTTATTAAGACATCGCTCCTCTCACACGTAAATTGGCCTTGCCGTCTCCATCTTCACCGGTCGGTGCTTGCAGACGTATTTCCCTCGTTCTCCATATTTCCAACCACTGATCTGACCCAGCTACCCCTCTCCTACCTCCCCTCAGCTTTGCAGTCCGGCTCTCCGCTTGCCAACTATAGCAGTTGCCCCGTTTCCGCAGCAGCCAGTGCCTGAAGCGCTGATGTGCCCGGCAGCCGTGTCTGCGCCAGCCATGTCCCCGTCAGTGCTGCTGCCCCATCCACCCCAATTGGTACCACCTCTAGTGACACCTGTGCCAACCATCCATGTGGCCACAGTCCCCTCCCCAACCGAACATCCATGTTTGCCAGCCAACACCCCAGTGCAGGTACCTGGATCGGACCGAACTGGCCCCAAACGCATCAGTGCAGGCTGTTTTTGCTTTATAGGAATAGCTTTTGTGTTGACATTTCATACTTCTCTTTATCTCTGTCTGTCTGTGAAGTGTAGCTGCTAAGCTGTCTTCACACAGCGTACTTTCTTTTCTTGGCTGTGAAATAAGACCTTCTTTTTTTTAGAAAACACAATAAAAAACATTCAGGCTTTGCCTGAAGCAGTTGTGCTTTTTATTTAGATATGCATTTTGTTATTTTGTCTTTTATGATTTGATTGTTTATTTTTTTTCCATTATAATTCCTGTTTGCTGTTCCAGACATCTCAGACTTTGACAACCGAGCTGTCACAACTCCAAACTCCTGCTGTGGAGAGGTAAGAGTTACTATTTAGCAGTGGAAAACGCAGTACAATAGATCCAGAATACATTGGGCTGTATTACTGAAGTCATTGTGTGTGTTTTTTTTTCCCTTAGCTGTCATTCTGATGTGGCATCTGGGCTCAGTGATGGCAATGAAGGCGTAACGGGTGGCAGGCATGAGGGTCGTTCTGCCAAACGTCACCAGCGCAGATCAGTTCGCAGCCGTTCACGTCATGAAAAGACGTCTAAGGCCAAGCTCAATGTACTTAATGTACGTCCAAAGAAAACATACGTTTTCTTTTATCGTTACTTTATTGGTTTTGGTGGTGTTGTAAAAACTAAAGACTTTGAGCAAACATCTCTCATGTATGTTTCAGATCTCCAGCATGGGCGATAGAGTTGCAGAGTGTCAATTAGAAACGCACAACAGGAAAATGGTGACTTTCAAGTTTGATCTTGATGGTGATAACCCAGAAGAAATTGCTCAGATAATGGTAACTTGAAACACCATCCCTGCATGTTTTTATTACCAACCAGATATGCTAATTAAATCATTTCTTTTGATCTTGATCTATGTTAAAAAAAGCTGGTGTTGAATAAAATATCTCTGTTGCCAAAATACACTTTGAACTGCCAAAACTCATTTAATAAGAGCTATTATTTCCTTCATGTTAGGTACAAAGTGAGTTCATTCTAGAGACAGAGCGCGAGTCTTTCATTGATCAGATCCGAGAGGTCATAGAAACAGCCGATGAGAAAGGTGTGGAGAGAGAGCGCAGCCAGGTACGTCCTTCTGAAAAGCTTCACAGCCTGTAGTTTTACACCCAGTATTTCCATGCCTAGCTGTGAATAAAATTGCCATTTGCAGAAAATATAGAAACGCTTGCATGGAGTATGTATACAAATTGGGTATTAAAAAAAAAACTGTTTCAACAAAATATTTGTGAAATCAGAAAATGATCAACAAAATGGTTAGATTATTACAGTTTATGTGCTTTTTAGGTGTGTTTTTGGGTGGTTTTTGTTATTTTCTAGCTTGTAATTAAACATTAGTGTGTTTAAAAATAGCTGCTTTTCATGATTTGTCTGTTTTATGTTAGATAATATTTAATATCTGTCATATGTAATAACTGAAACATCAAATCGTGTATCAAACTGTACTCTAGCTGTGTAGAAGTTGAAATTATTTTAGGGAAATTCTAACATCACAGTTAACAATATCTTACAGATGGTCAGTGATCATGAGCAGCATATGCCCACCACATCGGTGCCACAAGGTAAAGCTTACGCATGTCTCAGCATGTAAAGCAAGTTGATGTCCCCTGTTAATGTGTCAGTACTGAGGTCTTCTCCACTTTTTCTCCCAGGTGTGGCGTCTAGTTCAGCCACCCAGGTGGTGCACTCCGCAGGCCGCAGGTTTATCGTCAGTCCAGTGCCTGAATCTAGACTGAAGGATCAGTTCTTTAGTGCACCCCCACCCACAATCCCTCTTCGGGAAGAACCTTTATCCTGTGAGTTTAATTAGGAAAATATACTTATACAGGTTAAATTGTGCCATAAAAAGGCATAATATCAATTAGATGTATCTTGTTTTTTGATTTTTTTGATTAGCTCCCTTTTTGATTGTCTCTTACTATAATGTGAACTCACAAACCCAATACAAATAACCTAGACACATGATGTAACCGCAAGCATACTAATTTTTGTCTTGAATTTCTATTCCTTGTCAGCTGTGTCAGTTGCAGTGCCTGTCTCGGGGCTTTCTGTGTCTGCGTCTGCAGTCAGTCTGCAGCAGGCATTCTCTGAGATGCGTCAAGGCCGGTTTGACCCGGGTCCCAGCACTGCGCCACCAATGCTCCATGTCTCCATGCCCCCTCTGCTTCCTGCCGCAACACCCTTGCCCTCTAGCACTGCCCCTGTGGTCCCTCCCCCAGTTTCTTCTGAAGTGACCACTTCACCATCTCTACCCTCTGTCTCCTTAAACCCTCCAGGGTCATCGTCTCCTCCTCCTACCCTTCCCACCTCTGCAGTCACGTCCCCTCCATCCCATTCACAAATCCCCCTGCCTCAAAGTCAGGTTGCACCTGCCATCATCAGTGTTATTTCCACCCCTTCCTCTCTGCCAATGCCAACTGTGACTGGCGCCACACCTTTCCCCCAGACCTCAGTCTCTATGCCTGCACCTGCTAGCCCTGCGGCTAGCAGTGGCGAACAGCCATCCATCCCCTCAACTTCAGCTCAGCTCACAACAGCCACCATCCCGACGTCGCAACTCGCATCATCCACCATCACCGACACTGTCGCTCCCATCTCTGGAGCTCTGACACCCGTGCACAGCCAGCCTCAGACCTCCACTGTGGCCAATCAGAGTCACGCGCAATGTGTGGAATGTGACAGTGACCCGCAGGGAAAAGGCGTCGATGACATCCAGGCTTTGGATAAGAAGCTGCGGTCACTCTTCATGGACCTGGGCTCTGGTCTGCCCTCTGCCCAATCTGATGTCACATCTGACCCCATGGCTGCCCCAAGTGTCCCTGGCACCACCTCTCCAACTGCCTGCTCCACCCCAAGTGGCACCCCTCTCCCTCCCTCTAGCTTACCCCTCAACTCCTCCGGTCAGCCCACGGGCTCTCCAATGACCTCCATGGGCAATGGCTCCACCCCAGTCGGCTACAGTCAGACGACTCCATCCAAAGCGCCGCTATCAAGACTACCGGTGAGTGACCGGTTGATCAACAGTCATGAAAATAATGTCAGTTGACATCATGGTACATGGTTAAAACACTTTTCTTGTTTTTAACATCACCTTCTCTCAATCCTCTAACTACTCTATAGAAAAACTGGATGATTTTGTGGGGTTTTTAGGCCGTGTGTCCACCAAAGCGTTTTTCCACGCGCCTGGCGTATGTTTTCAATTGTTTTCAATGGGAGCGCTGCGTTTTTTTAAACGCCATGAGCGTACCAAGGCGATGAGCGTTTTTTGTCACGCTGAGCGCCCAGCGTTTTTATTGGTCGCTGGGAGTTGAAAAATGTTCAACTTTGGATAAAACGCAGCGCTCATCACTGTCACGTTTTACCCAGCCGTCCAATCGGAGTGGAGGAGGGGCGGGACTAATACCACACCGACCAACTGTCACAACATTCAAACTGCTGCGGATGTTCTGTATCATAGCAACGAAACGTCTCAACGGAAAAAAAACGCTCTCAAGCGCCCAAAGCGCTGTGGACACACGGCCTTAGACCCAATTTCTGCATGGCTGTTTAGTTTCATGACTGACAAAATGCATGACCGTAATCCTACTTGAATACTATATAACTCAACTGACACTTTTCTGTAATATTACAACCAAGCTCTAGTCATATTTTGTGTACAGCTTTAAATAATTCCCAAACATAACACACAGTCTTAGGATGCTTGTGGCGGTTCACCGGCACCTCTGCCAGCTCTCGTTCTTTACAGTGCTTTAGTTTCTCTTCCGTCTTCATTCATTAGGTGTTGCCTGTCGGCCCAGATCAGGCTGGCACGCCGCCCACAGAGCACCTACCACCCTTCCCAGGACCTTGTTTAACTCAGGTGCCCTTTTCTTCTTTCTCTTTCTGTCTCACTCTTGTTTTTATATAGTTTCATTCCTGTAAAACACGCAGAGCATGAGTAAAGATTTTTAATCGCATAAGAATCAAACCGCTGCATGGCATTGCTTTCCTTTGAGGCCTTTTAGGAGCATGACCTGTGACACTCATTAACTCTGACTTGCTGCTCTTTCTCTTTTTCTCTGCCGTAGACGGGTGGAGAACAGGAAAGATGTGATTTTAAGAAAACAACAATCAGACATGAACCATTTTCAGTGTGTTTTGTCTAATAACTCATTTGTTAATAATAATTATTTTATGAAAGGTAGAAAAGGGAATATAAAGGGCGGTGCTTTTTGTTTTTAACTTGTCTTCTACCTAGATTTTCTGACTTCCCCTTTTTTTAATTAAATATTTGAGGATTTCAAGTCATCAAAAGTGGCTCTAATCAAACAATCACCCCTACATTTTTATCATGTCATTTTGGTCTTTTAGCATGTTGTGGATTGATTAATCGCGAATAAATCGGACGTTGTATAACATATTTTCATCGCTCCAAATTGAACCCTGCTTGCATTCATGTCATACTCAAAGAAAGTCCTTCCCTCCTGCTTAAGGCGGTTCATACTAAATCTAAGAGACTTTTTCTTATCCTGTAAATTTAATGTGATATTTTTCATCCATCACTTTTGAATTGAAAACTCACTTTGATGGCACTCAGCCGCGAGCCAACCTGAACAAAACATTTCAGGAACCGCAGAGCGTGGGCCAATTAAATGATTTACTCTCTATTTCATGTGGAACATGAAAGGAAGCCTCAGCTTGGATTAAAAGCATTCAGTTCTTCCAGGCAGTGGTCATCTGACCCTTTACTTACTGTAAGAGATCGTCTCATGCAGAAATTAATTAGATACACAGTTCCCCTGCTGTATTTGTGTGCACTTGCCATGAGTAATAAGTGTTTGTACGAGCCCGCGTGTGTGTATACAGGATTTCTTGGTACTAACTGAACCTGACTAATTGCTGAAATGGATTATTTAGTCCCAGCAGCCCCTGGAGGATCTAGATGCCCAGCTGAGACGGGCACTGAGTCCTGAGACCGTCTCAATCAGCAATGTCACGCACCAGGTACACTCACACCAATGGGGAACTGGCCGAAAAACACCAGCACACTTGTATTAAGTCCCGGATCTGTCTGATTTAATTTAGTGCAGTTAAACTTTGGCACTGGAACTTTCCACACACAAAGAACAGATGGTTTTTAAATCCCATACAGCAATAAACCAGTATATATATCTAATAATTTTTATTGTGCTTTATTTACAATTCTGTATTCTGATTCACATCTTTTTCTTACCTGTAGACATCTCTTACTGGGATGCCACTTGGAGGACAGCCAGGTATGTGCTGAGGTTTTACTTGTTCTTTAAATGCACAACAGCTAGCAAAAAGCTTCAACTCGGCTCATTAATGATGATACCGTTTCAGTTCCGTGTGCTCTGGATGATGAGCAAGTGGCTGCACCTACAGTAGGAGGATACAAACTGGGACGATTCCAGGTACTTTGTATTTGCAATGTGTTGACAGGAATGGGATGTTCATAGTCAAGTCACCTTTATTTATATAGCGCTTTATACAAAACAGGTTGTTTCAAAACAGCTTTACAGTGATAACTGATTCATTTCAGCTGTACAGCAGCTCTAAAAGCAAATAACGTCAGTCATTGTTCAGCTTAAGTCAGTGTTAATTCAGTTTCATTGTAAAGATCAGCAGTTCTGCAGAAAAACAGTGATGTCATCGTCCAGCTCAGTTCATTTCTCATCCAATAGTGTCAGTGCATAATATGTTATGGTATAAAATAGTGTTTGTGCATGAAACTTTTGTTCTCTCTCTCATTCAGGTGTCAGTAACTCCCGATGAGAACGCCTCGCAAGTTCACACAGGCTCCTTTGACTCATCCTCCACGTCATCTTCTTCCACCACCTCCTCCTCTTCATCTTCATCCTCCTCTCTCTCTAGCCCCGAAAACACACTGCACCGCACCTCCTCTCCCCTCAGAGACACGAGAACAGATGTCGTCGACGGCCTCCCTGCTCTTCCTAACCGGGTGGCAACCCACCCTCAGCCCACCACCATTGGCCGTTTCCAGGTCACCACCAAAACAGACACGAAGGTGGGGCGTTTCTCAGTGAGTAGCGCACAGGACCAGGCCCTAGCAGCTAGCTCACAATCCCCAGAACCCCAGCCAGCACCTCAAGCCCATCCAGCCATGGGCAACGGTCCAGCACAGAGTCCCGGGAGCCTCAACAACTCTGTCAGCTCCTACTTCAGCAGCGACAATGACTCTGAGTTTGAAGATGACGATTTTAAGAGAGAAGTCAACAAGCTGAGGGAGAAGTATGTTTGTTTTTGATTGAGACATTGTAACTGGGACGGTGTAAGATATGCAGTGTAAGTGTACTTTCCATGTTTTTCTCACAGGCACATGATAGAGAGTCAGGCCCTGTACTCTCGGCAGAAGGCTGAGATTGATTCCCTTTTTGCCCGATTGGGCAAAGTTCCACCCGCCATGGTCAACCCACCCGTGGTGTACCCAGCTGGCCGTAGACGGCGTCCCACCAAGAGCAAAAGCAGCAAATCCAGCCGTGGTAGCTCCCAGGGCAGCAAGAGTCCTGTACAGCCAGGTATTCACTTTTTCCATTTTGCCTTTTTTGTGCAGATCAATTGACAATGTTTTTTGGGAATACGAAGATCGTTCTTATCTTTTTTAGTAAAAAGACAAACCTTAAAAATAATTTTGTAAATATCCTGTTAACCCTTAAACAGGCAAGAGTGGACAATGATCAGCAATAATTTCATTATATCATCTGGACTTAAGTCAAACATACAGATGAATATTTGAAGTATTTGATGCATTTTGGATTTTATGAAAAAAAAAAAATGCCAAGTCATCAATATTTCTAGGATGATTTGATGAAAAAAAAAATTTATATGCAAACTATACTGCATTTATGACAGGTCTAAGTGTCCAAAAATTGAGGCTTATACATTTCTTGTATTTTTTTTTCACTGCTAAACCATCTCGTCTTCAACCTCAGAGGGTTGCAACTCTAGCCCTCAAGGTCCACTGCCCTCAGGGTTAAGCGCCATCCCTAATCAATCGTGTAATTAATTTTCTAAGTAATCCTAGAGACTTTGGTTAGATTTTTCTGGTATGTTTGATCAGGGTTGGAACTAAACTCTGCTGGACGGTAGCACTCCAGGAGCACGGTTGGACATCTGTGAAAACCTGCGATAAAATGCAAAGATGTAGTTAACTAAGCTTAATAATGTCATTTTTACTTGTGAATGTTAATATTTGCACAACTCAAAATGCAAAAATTTAGAAGAGGGACTGTGTACAGGGGGCCCAGATGCCATAAGGATCTTCCCTAAGGGCCGGAACGAGATTTCTACTGAACCAAGTCATGTGACCCACATACTCCAAACAGACTCAACTATGATAATGATAGCAGAATTGGATTAAAATTTCTTTCTCATGCCTCCTACAAGAGATTAAAGACTTGTATCCTGTGATGCATGTTGCCTGTTTAAGGGTTAAAGTTAGGATAGTCTCCAATAGGACTTTTCACACTTGAAATAGTTAAACATAATTCTGGGTTATCTTGCTTCACATTTCACACTGCTGGTAATTTACCCAGGGTTAATAATTAATCCTGGTTATTTATACGCTGACATTTCACACTGTACATTCTTAAACTCTGGGCTAACGTGCATATTTGTGGTGACGGTGTCATTGATCGGGTGAACGCAGCACGCAGATTCATTTTGTGAATCTGGTTCCAGCTATCTGTGTTTGCGTCTTGTGTCCTGGCTCTGATCAGCACTTCTATATGTTTTTGTGTGTGGTCTTACAGCAACCAGCACTTTATCAGCGCAGAGTGCTCCCTCCGTGTACCCTCCCCAGCAGGCCTTCCTGGGCCCTGGGGGGATGATAGATGGGGGGAGTAGCCCTCTGCTCCAATCCTACAAGCCCTCCCCCTCTAATGAGAACCTGTGCTCCGTGTACACCAGTGACGCCACGCTCTCTGCGCCCAGTCTGTGTGTCACCTCGCAAGGTAAAGATAAAGAAACACATCACAGCACCTCTGCTTTTTTTAACACCAAGTTAAATGATAAAGTAATATTATGGGTTGGCAATAAACAGAAAAAAATCGATAACAAATTCAGCTGTTGGTGCTTTGCCCTCTTCCTTTCAAATTTATCCCCAAAATATGGTATATATAACTAATTTCAACTCTTATATCACTCAGTCCTGATCTGAAAGCCATAATCAGGGGTGTGTCCCTCTCCCGTTTTATACGGATTTCCGTATTTTCCACCCTGAAAAGTGACTTGCATAAATCCGATTGCATAAATGATTTTGTTGTGGTGTTCATGGGGGTTAGGTGGGGGTGTGCTGGTTACTGTATGATGATTGAAAGCGTGAAATGGCCTTAATGACTTAATAAACTGCAAAATGTCACATTTATACCAATGCACGGATTGTTCCTGACAGCGCCGCATGAGCTCGCGCCGCCATCTGTGGGACACCGCTATCATGTTAGCCAGAGTTCAAAGTGGCAAATGCGAGTAAAAATAGGTGTTGAAACGGTGTTACTTGCCAGTTGAATTGATATGGCTTAGTGTGATCATCAAATCGCAACGGTTGTGATGTATTTATATAAATAGCCTATATAGTCTGACACGTTGCATGTTTCAGAGTCCTGTAACAGCACTGTGTTTTCAGTTTTGATTTACAGTTAAAGGGATAGTTCACCCAAAAATGAAAATTCTGTCATCGTTTACGCACCCTCAAGTTATTACAAACCTGTATAAATGTCTTTGTTCTGCTGAACACAAAGGAAGATATTTTTGAAGAATGTTGGTAACCCAAGATATGCTTGGTTAAAAATATTCTTTGTGTACAACAGAACAAAGACATTTATACAGGTTTGGAACAACTTAAGGGTGAGTAAACGATGACAGATTAAATTATGACACATGTATTTTTTTAATAACACCAATAATTGTCTGGGGGGGGGGCAGGTTTCATTCTTTTTAGTCTTTAGCTTTAGCTGTTGGCTTTGTCATTTTAGATGTTTTAGTAACACATTGCAACTGTGGCCTACTTTCTGTGAGTCTTCCAAATTTGAGGAGAAAACTAAAGGATCACTCAGTAGGAAGAAATTGGAGCGTTCATTAAAATTGTGTTATTTTTTCCCCTAACATTCTTGTGAATTGTGTGGTGTTTCATATATCGGCCCTATTTGTGGTGGTTGAGGTTTAATCAAATCTTAATGTAGAAATCTTTGCTTTGCCCGTCTGAGAAAGCACACGCTTTGATTTGGATGAAGCTGCAGGGCTGATGCTTGTGCCCTTAGGGGGTGCTTTTCCTCCCCTGCTCTTCCACCCAGGGCCACTCCTCCCCTTCTTCACCTCCTTCACTCTCTCTATCTGTCAGGAATTCATGGCTTACTGACCATTCTCACTGTGTATTTGTGTACGTTTCCTTTCTCTCTCTTTCTCTCTTTTCTATCTGCTCCATCTCTTTCTCTATCTCTCTCGCTGTCTCTTGCTCTTTTCCATCTCTCTCTTTCTCTTTCCCTCTTTTTGTACCACAGGCTGTGTAAAGTTCAGCTGTGGGTCGGAGAGAGTGACCTTCAAACCAGGTGGCAGGAGGACGCGTTTTCTGAGTACGCCCTGCTTGGCTCTTTGTGTGTAACGCTTTTTCTTTTGTCTCTTTCCTACAATGTCATGTGATTTAGTTGCCAAGCCTTCTGATTGGCTGATCATCTCAGACATTGTGTCATGAATCTTAAAAAGTACTTATGTTCATCACTAAACAGTTAATATCGTTCATAACCAATAATGCACTAGTGTAACCTATGGTCCAAGAATTATTTCTAATCGTTTACGTATTATTAGTTTGAATATTTTACCTCATTTATGCTCAAGTTAACATAATAACAAAATTGCTAAAGATAAATGAATTACTAGTAATGTAAAAGATTAATTACATGCTGCATTTGACAGTTTCCCGAAGCTTGTGTGTAGCTTAAACGATGTGTGCCAATCACTTTCACAACAAGATCACAGCAGTATGTGAATGGAAAAGTGTAAAAAAAAAATTAGTATAATTTATATACCATTAAAGTATTTTGAATAAGCTTTTTTTATATTTAAAATTATTTTGTTTTAATTTTTAGCCATTTTTATTTACCTTTGTCATTTTTAGCTTTATTTAGTTTTTCAGTTATTAGTTATTAGCCATATAATATGATCCAATAATAATGACACGTCAATATATCTGCTGAAACATAGCTCTTCCTTTTCTGACAAATGCAGTGTGAACCAGCAACTCACTATTCTCATTTCGTTAAATAATTACTGTACACCCACTTTTGAAATTGTGAACTGCTGACACAGTGACTCAAGGCAAGTCATTACCACATCTATTTTACAATCTGCTGAATTTTCCCTTAGTCTTGTTTTGTATTTAAAAAAAAAAAAAAACATATTGTGTGTCCCTCAGCTCAGGTACTTTCACTCATCACATCATCTCAGCACAGTCTTCCTTGGCAATCTTGTCATCTATTATCAACTCTCACAATCTGAATACACCTGATCACTGGCTTTGACCACAGACCCAGTAGTCACTCACCCCAGCTTCACTGTTATTGGAAATACAATATGAATGTTAGACTAGCATGTTCTGATACACTCCCATAATGCACTGTGTTAGACCTGGAGTTACTGCAACACTGATTCTCTCCAATTTCACCGTTCTCTCCATGCTTCAGGGAAGATGGTGAAAAAAGTGTGCCCCTGCAACCAACTCTGTAGTAATTATCTCTCTTTTTTACATCCTCCCACCCCTTCCCTCCTTCTCTTTCCTGTCATCATCCCTCACTTCATGTCCTGTGGCCTGTTGAAGCTAGTTTCCTTGCTAAGCTCTCAGGCTGACTTGAGCATTTCTTTCCTGTGATGACCCATTCATGTTTTTTATAAGTGTGCCATGTCATGTGTTTTCACTCTCAAATTAAATGGAAATATTACCCAAATACAAACACCTTACCCTAAATTTGGTTTCCACATGAAAACGAGTTTGAGATTTTTTTATCGAACATGCATGCATATGTTTTTTCAAACCGGTGGCACTCACCACGCGACGACGCCAGACTAATGCACTCTAAATGGACCCGTCTTAGCACTCGTCCCATTATGCACAAGCCAATTTGAAGCCCCAGACTCCCTTCTGCACTCTTTATCCCCTTAAGACTCATCCCGCTTACTACACATCGACCTCATCCTGTTTGGATGGAGCTTATCTTCTCACCCATTACAACGATATATTGAGGCCTGGCTGATTTTCCCCCTCATTGTGCACAAGGCTTAATCACTGTCCAATGCACACGCTAAAATATTAAAGGTGTACAGCTCACATTTTGCGCATACATTTTGGAATCCCATATATTAATATTATTGAGCAAAGTGAATGGAAGTCATCCAGTAAATGCTGAAGTCAAGCTGTGTGGAGCCTCCACCTCTCCCTTACTCCTTTACCAGCAAGTGGTGCTGGTGCTTGGCCAGTGGTCTGGTTTTATGAATATTCTAACATCCACAATATATTATGATTAAAAGAAGCATTATACTCACACAGGCTGCATTTATTTGATCAAAAATAGAGTAATATTGTGAAATGTTATTTTTTAATATATTTTAAAAAGCTATTTATTCCTGTGTTGGACGCTTTAGTGTCACATGATCATTCTAACATGCTGATTTGATGCTCAAGAAACATTTCCTATTTTAAATGTTGAAAACAGTTGTCCTAATATTTTTTGTCATTTGATTATTTGATGAATAGTGGTTTGAAATAAAAATCTTTTGTAACATTAAAGTATATTTACTGCCACATTTGATCAAGTTTTTGCATCCTTGTTGAATACAAGTAATAATTTCTTTAATAAAAACATACTGACCTCAATATATATATATATATACCGTATATAGTTTATACTTTTTCAGTTTTTTGGCCCAATATAAACCCTTTTTCGTTTAATGGAAATGCATGGAACCGGGCCAAATCGTGTACTGGCTTTTGCACCAGCACCAGCATGGTGAAAAAGGAGTAGCTATCTTTCTAAGCATGGCTTGCTGTAAACTACATCACCCAGAATACCTTTTGGTGCTTCAGTCTCGGCGCAATGTCGTCTTTCTGTTGCTGCTTTCTGGAGAGGCCGTGTTTATCATCCTAACAGGTTCTGTCAATGTCGCCGGATGGCTGGCTGGATATTTGGCAAGACATTTGTGTCCAATGTAATTTACTGTGCAAGATTTGATTTTGAAAAATGTGTTTTTTCCATTTTTTTATTTATAATATATTCTTAAATGCATCAGCTCTTTGTTCCTTGGCAGACACGTATAAATAAACGATTAAGGACTGTTATCTCTTAGTCATGACAGTGATGTGTCTTATGAAGAAGCTGAGGCATTTCCACTCATTTTTCATTTTGCTTCATATTAACTGCTCAGTAAATAGCTTTTATTTTTTATTATGTGCCACGTAATCGCCATTTCTACGCTTTGTTCTTCAGAAAGAGGCTTTTTTACTCATACTTCTCACAAATATTAATGTGCTGACAAGATTTTGGCCATTTTTTTTACTAGTTTAGCTAATCAACTACAGTATCTCACTAAGTCTCTAATAGTAAGTGAAAATGTCCATGGTGAATCCATTTCCATTTCCACCACCATTTTGCTCCCTCTTGTGTTGCAATAAAAACAACCATGGCAAGCATGATGATAAGTCCCAGGCAGATCCGAAGCACTGTTTTCCGTGCTCCGATGGAAAGCCAGAGATGGTGTTTTAATGTTGTCATCGTGACCTGTTTTGCAGGCTGGAGTCAGAGTGATAAAAGTGTCACTTTAGCCTCAGAGCGGACGCCCAGGTGCTCGATAGGGCCTCACTGCCATGACTTTTGTTTTCGTATACACATGACATTTATATGATGTACAGTTGTGCTCTTGAATGTACATACCCTTTGTATAATATGTAATATGTTTCACATTTATTTAAATTGGAAGAGATAAATATATTATAATGAAGAAAAGTTTTTTGTCCTGAAGAACCTGATATTTTAGCAAAAAGGTATTTTGGTACTTCACAATATCATGTAAAACCTGTTTTCCAGCATGATCCAAAGAACATGTGCTTCATTGGATAAAAAAAGGAGTTTACATGATCAAAATCATAAATTTGCAACCTTTTTTGATTTCCAGGTTTAGTTGAATGCAATATTTTAAATAGCAGCTCATACTTTTGATTCTCAAATAGTTTTATCATGGAATAAAAAAAACATCTCTCTTATTTTTAGATCAAAAATTTTGCTGATTATATAAGGTGTATGTAACTAAAGAGAGGAACTGTATGTGAAAATATACATGTACACATTGATATAGTCTGTGGGCTTCAGATTGTATCAGATATTTCAGTGTGACATTCATTGTAGAGACTTCCTCTTTACGACAGTCTTCTCTCTTCCTCTTTTCCTCTCCGCTCAGGGACGAGCAGCACCAACACGGTGGCGGGAACCGGTCAGAATCAAAACCAAGCGCCCGTCTCTCAGTCCCAGAGCTGCAAGGGCATGTTCACAGACGAGCTGCACAAATTAGTGGACAACTGGGCCAGGGATGCCATGAGCCTGTCGCAGGGCAAGAGAGGCTCCAAGCACCAACAACAAGTGGCGCCTCAGGGTCACAGCTACGACGTAAGACTTTATCCTTGAGAAACTCAGACCTCACAGTTGAATTTGATGTTATAATACCTGATTAACATGCACTTTTTAATTTTTTCATTCCGCCTCTTCTCAGATGGTCCCTCCTGCAAACATGGGCCGTAAGTACTCGGCTCCGGGCCAGCTGTGCCCGAGCATCGCTGCAACTTTGAGTGGCCACTCGCCCTTGCCCAACACTCCCGCTACCTCTCTGGGGACCCGGAAGGGCTCCTTGTGTCCCACGCCACAGTACACCTACCCCTCTGCCCCTTACAGCGCCCAGTGGGCTGGCTCTGCCACGCACACCCAGGCCGGTCTGCTGGCCACCTCGCAACCCCTGGGCCAATATCCCCAGGTGCCCGCTCCTTTACAGACCTTCCACATCAGCACTTTGCAGAAGTCAGTCAGCCACCCGGGCGGACCCAACCTGAAGACCACGTAGGGCAGGGCCTAGCCGCGCCAGGCCGAAATGACTCTCGAGTTGGAGGTGGGGGCAATCAGGGGCGAGGGGGGCTGGGGAGCAAGTATTTGATTGCATTGCAGAGATTCGGTCATAAGAGTTTCCTTTGGGTGATTGAGAAGGATCCTGCATGCTCACGGATACGCCACAGGGATGATGCACAACGACCCTAGGGATAAGAGAGGACGAAAATAAAACAATGGACACTTTGAATACAATGTTACGTGGCCAAAGAAGGTGACCATTTTTATCGTTAAGGTGCGTGCATCCTTCACCACCAGGGGCTTGACTTGTGTTTAGAGGTTTGCTGACCTAAGATGAAATGAACGCCACCTCCACCCATCCCAGAATCCAGCTATCTGTATATCCTCTTGATAAATTCATACATCAAGCATATCACAAAACAGAAGTCGGGTGGGTGTTGGTGAGCAAACCGAGTGTCCTTGTTCCCCTCTTGCCCTAAACCCTCTGCTGCAATGCCATGGAATAATGCAATAATTACAATGGTAGAAAAAAGCCCATTTTAAAACACAGGAAGTGGCCTTCATTAGATAAAAAAAAAAAATGTACAGATATCCTTTGTTTTTAAATTGGGTTATTAGGGTTTCGATTCCATTTGCTTGCTTGGTTGGTTGGTTGTTGTTTTTTTTCCCTATGCCCTTCAAGCCGGCCTTGTGTAGCAGAATGTTAGGGACTTTTTTTTTTTGGTCACATGTTTAGAGGCCTTTCATCTGCCCCCAGGGGTTGTACTACCAAGCTCCTACAGCTCCCAGCATGCTTTGCAGCACCTTCACACACTTACGGTTTTCTCATTGGGCCACACCACAAGGTGACGTGTAATATAGTGGATACAATCAGTTGGATTGGGGTTTGGATACGAAACCAGGGGTTGCGGGACCGTGCGCCACGGAGGCCCGTGAAGCTTTAAATCTATGACTAATGTAACAGCTTTTTCTAATCATGGCAGCATTAGGGGCCTCTTACGATAGTCTGATCGAATAAGAAGTCGTGTTCTGTATGGACCTGTATTTACTCATCAGTTTTTGATGTTAAAACACTGTGATTATTATAAATGTTGTTGGACAACATTAGCTAAAAAGAAAAGTAGACAACAAAACATGAAATTTTGGAGGGTTTTGGATATTAGCAAGCATTCATGAGATGTAAGGCTAGCTTATCTTATTGGAGACACTTTAACCCTTTTCCCCTTTCTACTTTCTTTATATTATTAGATAAATGTGAATGTAAAATGGATTCAATTAATGTACTTGAAGAAACAAATCTTTCCCCTTTTCCCTATGCCCAGTGAGCTTTCTGAAGATTCTAGTGCCTTGCGTTATTTTTTTATTTTATTTTTATTTTCTTTGCTTCAGGGTTTGATAAATAAGGCAGCGGAGAGTCTGGTTGGAGTGCTGGTCTTTGGACTTCACAGAGGGCGAATATTAATATATTGCGTAAACGAGGTGTCGTCTGAACCCATTTGTTGGCACAGTCCTAGCCTTTAGGCAGAGTTGCAAAAAGCTTCTTATAGAAAGTGTACAAATACATGATCCAGCCATTATATCACATTCAAAGGCTGTGAAAGTACGTGAGGTTTGAGTTTTTTAGATCAGTCTGAGTGTTCCTATCATCAGTGCACCCTTGCTAGCATAACCACGGTGTCTTTATTTTACAGATGGATTCTCATGAGCAGCTCTTGTGAAGGTGAGGGATCGGCTCAGATAGAAACGCAGGATGAGGGAAGTTAGTAGGCATGATGGGACAGTATGTTGTAAGTATTTCAGAACCTCCAATAGATTAGATGTTTTAGACACCATCCAGTGTCAAACCCTCTCCGGTGAGCGTAGACTGGCACGTTTTACTCATTTAGCAACAGCAAGTGTAACTTCACGAGTGAGAAAAGGACCAGAAAGGTGAGAAAAGACAGTTAGCAACCCTCACCGACACAAGAGCCAAAGCAGCACTGTTGAATTCGACTGATTTCTCATCAAACCTCTTCTTTTTAACTCACACTGCCCATATAAGTTCTCATGTCAATCGGTTTTATGGCAGATCAGTAGCTTCTTTTGGGGGATCTCTCTCTCTCTCTCTTTGTAGCAGTCGGTCAAATCACTCTTGTAAATGCTTTGGTTAATTCTAAATGCTATTAACTGCATTAGACCTGCCTACGTTTTAGTTTCGCGTTTTGCACGTTCGACTGTGCAAAAGTAAAGAGAGCAGTCCTGATTCACCAGAGACGAGAGCATTTTATTTGGGGTACAGATGCTCTCATCACCATAACTACTGAAAGGACTACGATTACAACTGCTTAATGTGTTTTCCGTGAAACGTGTGGCACAGGAACGTAACTTTAGGTCAACTGTACAGTGTAGATTCTCAACTGGCTCTCTATATTTAAAATACGATAGTTTTACCTTTTGCTTTGTACACAACGCTTTACCTGTAGACAGCTCGTTTTTACCCACTTTACGTCGTTCGGTTCATTCAAACTGTGAACACATCAAAAGGTCTTTAACAAAGAGGTCCCACCTGCTCAGTGTTCAGACTAATGAAATCTGTAATGCTACATTCTGAGTGCCATGTCCCTGCTCCAGATACAAGTGTTAAGAAACAGGTCATCCTGTTCGACTGTAGAGGGCGCTAATGTAACTGCAATGCAGGACCTTCAACATTTAAATGAGATTCACCTCTGACCTCTGATGTGAATGATAACAGCACCTTGAAAAATACAAAAACCTCTTCTTTATCCTTCACTTTACTTTGACAAAATTGTGTTTGTAGCATGCTGATGTGCGAATGAGCCATTCAGTATCGATACACATTGTGATTAATTATTATTTCTTATTTGTTTTGCATGATACTTAAGTTACACAGAAAAAAAAAAATGCACACAAACTCACTCAAAAAGTATCTTGTTGAATGAAAGCCTCCTTTCTAGTCGCTCTCCTGTGGAAAGAAATACAACAGAACAATGTTTACTTAATGCTACTGACCTGTCATTAAGTTATTTTGGGTTTTTTTACTGCTATCTGATCCGCTTGTTTTGCTGTCTTTTGAGTCTCTGGATTTTCTTCTGGCGACTTTCATATATTTAACATTGTACAAAATGTTAAAAAAAATTCCTTAAAATGAAAACCAAACAAAAACAAGTAGGGAATCATCTGCAATGTTTAACTGTCTGTTTTGCACTAAGTATAGGGTGTTCAAGCTTCATATAAAACTGCGCTTTGCGCTCCAATAAAACAGCATTTGTTACCTTATTTGTAAACTTAATAAAAGTCATTTAAATAAATCAAGTTTGCCTCTCCTTATCAATTCATACTGGGTCCTGGATTAGTTATCATGCAGTTTAGAGCAATCGACCCAATGACATACTTGCATTAAATTACTTTATAATGTCTCTTATGAGCTACTAAATACTGCAATCTGTATTATATGTGTTATTTGTGCCCACCTTTACTATGTCATGAATGTCCAATAATTATTTGTTCATACTAGCAAATCTGCATCTGATGTACAAAGAGAATGGTATTTTTCTGTATAAATAGTGCATTGATACTTTATACAACACTGCACCCTACCAGTGAGTGTTATTTGCATCTATATGATAAAGGTGTGAATGACACCACGTGTGCACATAAACACTGTGCCTCGTCCTTCCAGATGTGTACATGCAGTACATTTATTTGCAGTTCCATGTCCTTTCGCTTTATACTTTTTAATTGTTACAAACACCCATGGCCATGTTAATATACAAAACTTCTTCACTGCTTATTAATATTTAAAAGGCTTTTGTCTGCCAAATTAAATGTGGTCCAACCAAATATATATATATATATATATATATATATATATATATATATATATATATATCTCAAGCATTTTTCAAAAACTGTTTTTAACTTATCTTAAATGTCTTTAAGTAAAAAAAAAATGTAAAATTAAACCAGCATTAAATAGTTAATTTATAAGAATGCAGCACATGTAAAACATTTTATCGATAAGATATTTCAAAAGATTATTGATTTTATTTATAACTCTTGTACATCATTGGCTCAGTGTTTTCTGTTTTTGTAGATTTGTAGGACTGAGAACTATTATGTTAATGCACTGCTTCTATGCTTACTTGGCATACAATTTATACACTCTTGGCATCTTTACAAATGTAACTAGGTCGATGTGAAAACTACACAGATACACATGTTATTGAACCCTGTTGATGACCTTTGGAAGATTTGTATTGATTGGGCAGTTTTATAAAGGTTGTGAGGATCAGGAATTAAACATACTGAATCTAATACGAGCAAGGTAAGACATCTTTAACACTGATTCACACTTCAGCTTCTTGACACTTTCAAGACACATTGTTTTTACTTTTCAATATGTGAGTCAGACATCTGTATAACTGAACCTGTATTGTTTCTGACAGATATGGCGGTGTTTAATGGTGTTCGGCTGGTGTCTCTGGCTGTGCTGGTGTTGGTGTCTCAGCTGGACTCTGCCAGCGCTGCTGTTCGGGTGTTTGGTTTAAGTGCCAGAGGCCTCGGCGGGGACGATTTTGAAGATTATCTCGATCCATACCTCAAGGTCAGGTGTGGATCTTCTTTTGGGCAGACAGAAAGTTTCGATGATAATAATAATCCTACATGGTCTGTAGAGTTCAACTTCCCAACCTGCAATCAATATGACGAGCTGGAGGTGGAGTTGTGGGACAGTGACCTATTTTTTGATGAACACTTCGCCACGTGTACCTCAAAAATGGTGGATTATCATACGCTTTTTCACACTACTTGTGATCTGAACCCCGGACGTCTGTTTTACAAGTACGAGTTGAATCCATAAACCTTTTCCAAACAGCTTTGAAACACACTGTAACTAGCCTGATTGGAATAAAGTTGAGCAATATGCAATATAACGTGTAGGTTTTGCATTAAGATGTTCATTAAAATTTACAGCTAACATACTTTTCATCTTTAGTGAAATGTTTTTACAAACAGCAACATAAAAATACAAATGAAAGTCATAAATCAAGGTTGTCTCTGCTTCTCAGTTCACACTGAATCTAGTTTTAATTTGTGCTCTTTATTAAATATAGTGCACCATATAGCCCTGCTTCTCCTCTCACAGATTGGTGCAAGTGATAAATTCCCCATAACCTGCACATCACATCACAACACACACACTTTTCATACTTGTAAACATGAGTATTTTACTCTACATTTTATGCTATAGAAAGTGTACATCAAATGTACATAATTGATTTTACCATTTACAATAAAAGGTCTCTTGCTCCTTTGATGATCATTTTTTCTGTGTAAATGTGAATGATCCCTGGAATTGCCAAGTTCTAAATAGGCAATAAACAAACAAACATTTGTTGTGAATGAATCATTTATGGCTCATGAATCATTGATCCAGTTTATTTATAGTGATTTCAGCTCTGTCATTGAATCTAAGACAGATTTTACATGATGATGAATATAATGTGGAAACATCACGAAATGCAAAACAAAGACATATTATGACACAGATGATGATGGCATATGTATAACTTGGCCTACAAAAAAAAGATATATTCTAGAAGTAGGCTGTAGACCTATGACTAAGAAGAATGTCATAAGAATCTGTATTTTCCTGTATCCTGTATTGATGGTCTCTAGAACCCAAGGATCTGATGTTACCTTCTCCCAACTCTTTAGGCATAGTTGGGAGTTCTCCATCGACTCTGAGACTGCTATGCCTGTCCTCCCTGTGGTTTGAAACTCCAGGTCCGTCTCTTAAGTGATCCTCCCCTGACTGGAGTGTGTAACTGGTCAGTTTGGGGAGCCTGGTAAAACGGTCTGGTGCCTTGATCATGGAGTTGGTAACCATTATCTCTCCTTCTGTCATTCATACCCACAGGGTTCTGAACGAGGAATGAGCAGCTCGATAGCTTTATTTGGTTTGTGCGTCTCCTCATTCTCGATCGGGCAGCCCAGGTAGCTGTTATACTCTTGTCTCATTCACTGATCGGCCTTTTGGCGCTCCTTACCAGGACAACAGAGTTCTCAGTAACCTCATCAGGTCCCAAAGTGTTACGGGCTGCGATATCTCACTCCACACTGATGACATGTTCCCCATACTACTCTCAGGGGGGTAATCTAACTTAACAAACAAACTTAATTAAACTGGGGTGCAGCTTTTGGATTATTCCAGGCTTTTCTCAGCATCTGGGAATAATCCTCAGCCACAGGAATAGACACAGTAGGCTGTGCACAGGACATAAGTCCATCAAGAATTATTTTGGGATGATCTTATACATTTTAATATGTAAAGTCTCAGTCTCTGTGGTTTTAAGAGATTATAATCCTCTCCTTATCATTTCATACTGGATCCAATACACAAATATTTTATCGATAATATATTTCAAAAGATTATTGATTGTCTTTATAACTTGTACATCATTGGCTCAGTGTTTTCTGCTTTTGTAGCTTTGTAGGACTGAGAACTATTATTTTGATGCACTGCTTCTGTACTGTAATTATTTTAAAAGTGCTTAGCAGACAAGAAGGGCTTAACCTGGGCTAAAAGACGGAGATGAAAGAAACAGGACTTAAAGGGATAGTTCACAAATTTTTTTGATATGTTTTAGCTTATTGATATGCTTAGCTTATTGATATTGATATGTTTTAGCTCAAGGGCATCCAAGATGTAGGTGTCTTTGTTTCCACAGTAGTTTCAATTTTGATATTTTTTGGTCAAACCGTTCTTGTCTGTCAGTCATGTAATGGAGGTCTATGGTCACCACCTCAAAGAGCATGCATAGAGAAGTCCAAATTAAACATGATTTAATGACTCGTAAATGTAAGGACACATTGATGGCCTAAAACACGAAACGAGCGGTTTGTGTGAGAAAAAGAACAGTATTTATATCGTTTTTACCTCTTGTAATCACAGCCATGTCCAAGTACTCTGAGGGCGCGGGCGTTTCGGTCTGCGCATGCGCGGGAAAGCACCAGAAAAGCCTCGGAAGTGATCTCTCGTGCGTTGACGTCACTCATTGTTTTGTTTTTTGACATAACAAATTCAACGTTGTCTGTTGAAATTTCGAAATCGTCTTCCATTGCAATTTCCTGTATATCTAAATATGTTTAGATCTTCACAATGAAGGGTAACACTTCCGAAAACTCTGTGTAAACAATGGGTGACATACACGTGCGAGAGATCAGGCCGAAGCGCCCGCGCCCTCAGAAAATACTGTTCTTTTTCTCACACAAACCGCTTTTTTCATGTCTTAGGCCATCAATGTGTCCTGACATTTACGAGTCATTAAATCATGTTTAATTTGGACTTCTCTGTGCATGCTCTTTGAGGAGGTGACCATAGATCTGCATTATATGACTGACAGACAAGAACGGTTAAAAAATCTCAAAATTGAAAATACTGTGGAAACAAAGACACCTACATCTTGGATGCCCTTGAGGTAAGCTACAGTAAAACTAAGAGAACTATCCCTTTAACCACATCACTTATCTGCTTATCATATTTAAGGTTGTTATCAGGCCAGACTCGATATTCCCAAATTCTGAACACAGGCGGGGCTTTACGGTAACTATGTTTGGAGATCAAACTCACTCTTGGCACTCTTTGCATCTTTACAAATGTAACTAAAGGTCAATGTGAAAACAACACAGATACACATAGAAAACCTGGACCTTTGGAAGATTTGTATTGATTGGACAGTTTTATAAATGTTGTGAAGATTACTATATAAACTGAATCTAATACAAGCAAGGTAAGGCATCTTTAAAGGAATACTCCACTTTTTGGTCATGTAAATATACAAAACTTCTTCACTGCTCATTCATATTTAAAAGGCTTTTGTACCAAATTAAATGTAGAATATGCATTTTTGAAAAATAGGGTTTTTAAACTTTTCTTTTTAAAAAAGTCTTATAAAACCAGCATTAAATAGTTAATTTCTATGAATGCAGCACATTTAAAACATTTTATCGATAAGATATTTCAAAAGATTATTGATTTTCTTCATAACTCTTGTACATCATTGGCTCAGTGTTTTCTGCCTGTTGGACTGAGAACTATTATTTTAATGTTTCTATGCTTACTTGAAATACAATGTTAACACTCTTGGCATCTTTACAAATGTAACTAGGTCGATGTGAAAACTACACAGATACACATGTTATTGAACCCTGTTGATGACCTTTGGAAGATTTGTATTGACTGGGCAGCTTTATAAAGGTTGTGAGGATCAGGAATTATACACACTGAATCTAAAACAAGTGAGGTAAGGCATCTTTAACACTGGATCACACTTCAGCTTCTTGACACTTTTAAGACACATGGTTTTCCCTTTTCAATATTTGTGTCATCATCTGTATAACTGAACCTGTATTGTTTCTGACAGATATGGCGGTCTTTAATGGTGTTCGGCTGGTGTCTCTGGCTGTGCTGGTGTTGGTGTCTCAGCTGGACTCTGCCAGCGCTGCTGTTCGGGTGTTTGGTTTAAGTGCCAGAGGCCTCACCGGTGACGGTTTTGAAAACTTTCTCGATCCATACCTCAAGGTCAGGTGTGGATCTTCTTTTGGGCAGACAGAAAGTTTCGATGATAATAATAATCCTACATGGTCTGTAGAGTTCAACTTCCCAAACTGCAATCGATATGACAAGCTGGAGGTGGAGTTGTGGGACAGTGACCTATTTTTTGATGAATACTTCGGCACGTGTTCCGAAAATGTGATGTTTAAAGGGGTTTACTCCATTACTTGTCGGGGCTCCGAAGATACCCTGTTTTACAGCTACGAGTTGTTAGAATAAACCTTTTCCAAACAGCTTTGAAACAAACTGTATGATAGGAATAAAGTTGTCCAATATAACGTGTATGTGTTGCATTAATATGTTCATTAAAATCTACAGCTAACATACTTTTCATCTTTAGTGAAATACTTTAACTAACAGCAACATGAAAATAGAAATGAAAGTCATAAATCAAGGTTGTCTCTGCTTCTCAGTTCACACTGAATCTAGTTTTAATTTGTGCTCTTTATTAAATATAGTGCACCATATAGCCCTGCTTCTCCTCTCACAGATTGGTGCAAGTGATAAATTCCCCATAACCTGCACATCACATCACAACACACACACTTTTCATACTTGTAAACATGAGTATTTTACTCTACATTTTATGCTATAGAAAGTGTACATCAAATGTACATAATTGATTTTACCATTTACAATAAAAGGTCTCTTGCTCCTTTGATGATCATTTTTTCTGTGTAAATGTGAATGATCCCTGGAATTGCCAAGTTCTAAATAGGCAATAAACAAACAAACATTTGTTGTGAATGAATCATTTATGGCTCATGAATCATTGATCCAGTTTATTTATAGTGATTTCAGCTCTGTCATTGAATCTAAGACAGATTTTACATGATGATGAATATAATGTGGAAACATCACGAAATGCAAAACAAAGACATATTATGACACAGATGATGATGGCATATGTATAACTTGGCCTACAAAAAAAAGATATATTCTAGAAGTAGGCTGTAGACCTATGACTAAGAAGAATGTCATAAGAATCTGTATTTTCCTGTATCCTGTATTGATGGTCTCTAGAACCCAAGGATCTGATGTTACCTTCTCCCAACTCTTTAGGCATAGTTGGGAGTTCTCCATCGACTCTGAGACTGCTATGCCTGTCCTCCCTGTGGTTTGAAACTCCAGGTCCGTCTCTTAAGTGATCCTCCCCTGACTGGAGTGTGTAACTGGTCAGTTTGGGGAGCCTGGTAAAACGGTCTGGTGCCTTGATCATGGAGTTGGTAACCATTATCTCTCCTTCTGTCATTCATACCCACAGGGTTCTGAACGAGGAATGAGCAGCTCGATAGCTTTATTTGGTTTGTGCGTCTCCTCATTCTCGATCGGGCAGCCCAGGTAGCTGTTATACTCTTGTCTCATTCACTGATCGGCCTTTTGGCGCTCCTTACCAGGACAACAGAGTTCTCAGTAACCTCATCAGGTCCCAAAGTGTTACGGGCTGCGATATCTCACTCCACACTGATGACATGTTCCCCATACTACTCTCAGGGGGGTAATCTAACTTAACAAACAAACTTAATTAAACTGGGGTGCAGCTTTTGGATTATTCCAGGCTTTTCTCAGCATCTGGGAATAATCCTCAGCCACAGGAATAGACACAGTAGGCTGTGCACAGGACATAAGTCCATCAAGAATTATTTTGGGATGATCTTATACATTTTAATATGTAAAGTCTCAGTCTCTGTGGTTTTAAGAGATTATAATCCTCTCCTTATCATTTCATACTGGATCCAATACACAAATATTTTATCGATAATATATTTCAAAAGATTATTGATTGTCTTTATAACTTGTACATCATTGGCTCAGTGTTTTCTGCTTTTGTAGCTTTGTAGGACTGAGAACTATTATTTTGATGCACTGCTTCTGTACTGTAATTATTTTAAAAGTGCTTAGCAGACAAGAAGGGCTTAACCTGGGCTAAAAGACGGAGATGAAAGAAACAGGACTTAAAGGGATAGTTCACAAATTTTTTTGATATGTTTTAGCTTATTGATATGCTTAGCTTATTGATATTGATATGTTTTAGCTCAAGGGCATCCAAGATGTAGGTGTCTTTGTTTCCACAGTAGTTTCAATTTTGATATTTTTTGGTCAAACCGTTCTTGTCTGTCAGTCATGTAATGGAGGTCTATGGTCACCACCTCAAAGAGCATGCATAGAGAAGTCCAAATTAAACATGATTTAATGACTCGTAAATGTAAGGACACATTGATGGCCTAAAACACGAAACGAGCGGTTTGTGTGAGAAAAAGAACAGTATTTATATCGTTTTTACCTCTTGTAATCACAGCCATGTCCAAGTACTCTGAGGGCGCGGGCGTTTCGGTCTGCGCATGCGCGGGAAAGCACCAGAAAAGCCTCGGAAGTGATCTCTCGTGCGTTGACGTCACTCATTGTTTTGTTTTTTGACATAACAAATTCAACGTTGTCTGTTGAAATTTCGAAATCGTCTTCCATTGCAATTTCCTGTATATCTAAATATGTTTAGATCTTCACAATGAAGGGTAACACTTCCGAAAACTCTGTGTAAACAATGGGTGACATACACGTGCGAGAGATCAGGCCGAAGCGCCCGCGCCCTCAGAAAATACTGTTCTTTTTCTCACACAAACCGCTTTTTTCATGTCTTAGGCCATCAATGTGTCCTGACATTTACGAGTCATTAAATCATGTTTAATTTGGACTTCTCTGTGCATGCTCTTTGAGGAGGTGACCATAGATCTGCATTATATGACTGACAGACAAGAACGGTTAAAAAATCTCAAAATTGAAAATACTGTGGAAACAAAGACACCTACATCTTGGATGCCCTTGAGGTAAGCTACAGTAAAACTAAGAGAACTATCCCTTTAACCACATCACTTATCTGCTTATCATATTTAAGGTTGTTATCAGGCCAGACTCGATATTCCCAAATTCTGAACACAGGCGGGGCTTTACGGTAACTATGTTTGGAGATCAAACTCACTCTTGGCACTCTTTGCATCTTTACAAATGTAACTAAAGGTCAATGTGAAAACAACACAGATACACATAGAAAACCTGGACCTTTGGAAGATTTGTATTGATTGGACAGTTTTATAAATGTTGTGAAGATTACTATATAAACTGAATCTAATACAAGCAAGGTAAGGCATCTTTAAAGGAATACTCCACTTTTTGGTCATGTAAATATACAAAACTTCTTCACTGCTCATTCATATTTAAAAGGCTTTTGTACCAAATTAAATGTAGAATATGCATTTTTGAAAAATAGGGTTTTTAAACTTTTCTTTTTAAAAAAGTCTTATAAAACCAGCATTAAATAGTTAATTTCTATGAATGCAGCACATTTAAAACATTTTATCGATAAGATATTTCAAAAGATTATTGATTTTCTTCATAACTCTTGTACATCATTGGCTCAGTGTTTTCTGCCTGTTGGACTGAGAACTATTATTTTAATGTTTCTATGCTTACTTGAAATACAATGTTAACACTCTTGGCATCTTTACAAATGTAACTAGGTCGATGTGAAAACTACACAAATGCACATGTTACTGAACCACCTGTTGATGACCTTTGGAAGATTTGTATTGATTGGGCAGTTTTATAAAGGTTGTGAGGATCAGGAATTAAACATACTGAATCTAATACGAGCAAGGTAAGGCATCTTTAACACTGGATCACACTTCAGCTTCTTGACACTTTTAAGACACATGGTTTTCCCTTTTCAATATTTGTGTCATCATCTGTATAACTGAACCTGTATTGTTTCTGACAGATATGGCGGTCTTTAATGGTGTTCGGCTGGTGTCTCTGGCTGTGCTGGTGTTGGTGTCTCAGCTGGACTCTGCCAGCGCTGCTGTTCGGGTGTTTGGTTTAAGTGCCAGAGGCCTCACCGGTGACGGTTTTGAAAACTTTCTCGATCCATACCTCAAGGTCAGGTGTGGATCTTCTTTTGGGCAGACAGAAAGTCTCGATGATGACAATAATCCTACATGGTCTGTAGAGTTCAACTTCCCAAACTGCAAACGATATGACGTTCTGGAGGTGGAGTTGTGGGACAAAGACGTGTTTTATGATGAACACTTAGCCACATGTTCTGAAAAGGTGTTGTTTAATAGGGGTGAATCCATTGTTTGTGGTCAGGGCCCCGGAGGAACCCTGTTTTTCCATTACGAGTTGAATCAATAAACCTTTTCCAAACAGCTTTGAAACACACTGTAACTAGCCTGATTGGAATAAAGTTTAGCAATATAACGTGTATGTTTTGCATTAAGATGTTCATTAAAATCTACAGCTAACATACTTTTCTTCTTTAGTGAAATGCTTTTACAAACAGCAACATAAAAATACAAATGAAAGTCATAAATCAAGGTTGTCTCTGCTTCTCAGTTCACACTGAATCTAGTTTTAATTTGTGCACTTTATTAAATATAGTGCACCATATAGCCCTGCTTCTCCTCTCACAGATTGATGCAAGTGATAAATTCCCCATAACCATCACTGCACACCAACTCTTTTCATACTTGTAAACATGAATATTTTACTCTACATTTGATGCTATAGAAAGTGTACATCAAATGTTCATAATTGATGAGCAAGAGACCTTTTACGGAAATTTGAATGATCCCTGCAATTGTTCTAAATAGGCAATAAAAAATAAAACAATTGATCGCTCATGAATCATTTCATTATTGATCCAGTTTATTTACAGTGAGTTCAGCTCTCCTGTCGAATCTAAGACAGATTTTACATGACGATGAATATTTTGTCACGAAATGCAAAACAAAGACATATCATGACACGGATGATGATGTTTAACTTAGCCTACAAAAAAAGATATATTCTAGAAGTAGGTTGTAAGACCTCTGTCTAAGGAATGTCATAAGAACCTGTATACTGTATTGATTGTATCTAGAAACCAAGGATCTAATATTGCCTTTTCCCAACTGTCCAGGCGGGAGCCGTCGACTCTGAGATTGCTATGCTATGGATTCCCTGGGGTTTGAAACTCCAGGTTCGTCTCTTAAGTGATCCTCCCCTGACTGGAGTGTGTGATTGGTCAGTTTGGGGAGCCTGGTAAAACGGTCTGGTGCCTTGATCATGGAGTTGGTAACCATTATCTCTCCTTCTGTCATTCATACCCACAGGGTTCTGAACGAGGAATGAGCAGCTCGATAGCTTTATTTGGTTTGTGCGTCTCCTCATTCTCGATCGGGCAGCCCAGGTAGCTGTTATACTCTTGTCTCATTCACTGATCGGCCTTTTGGCGCTCCTTACCAGGACAACAGAGTTCTCAGTAACCTCATCAGGTCCCAAAGTGTTACGGGCTGCGATATCTCACTCCACACTGATGACATGTTCCCCATACTACTCTCAGGGGGGTAATCTAACTTAACAAACAAACTTAATTAAACTGGGGTGCAGCTTTTGGATTATTCCAGGCTTTTCTCAGCATCTGGGAATAATCCTCAGCCACAGGAATAGACACAGTAGGCTGTGCACAGGACATAAGTCCATCAAGAATTATTTTGGGATGATCTTATACATTTTAATATGTAAAGTCTCAGTCTCTGTGGTTTTAAGAGATTATAATCCTCTCCTTATCATTTCATACTGGATCCAATACACAAATATTTTATCGATAATATATTTCAAAAGATTATTGATTGTCTTTATAACTTGTACATCATTGGCTCAGTGTTTTCTGCTTTTGTAGCTTTGTAGGACTGAGAACTATTATTTTGATGCACTGCTTCTGTACTGTAATTATTTTAAAAGTGCTTAGCAGACAAGAAGGGCTTAACCTGGGCTAAAAGACGGAGATGAAAGAAACAGGACTTAAAGGGATAGTTCACAAATTTTTTTGATATGTTTTAGCTTATTGATATGCTTAGCTTATTGATATTGATATGTTTTAGCTCAAGGGCATCCAAGATGTAGGTGTCTTTGTTTCCACAGTAGTTTCAATTTTGATATTTTTTGGTCAAACCGTTCTTGTCTGTCAGTCATGTAATGGAGGTCTATGGTCACCACCTCAAAGAGCATGCATAGAGAAGTCCAAATTAAACATGATTTAATGACTCGTAAATGTAAGGACACATTGATGGCCTAAAACACGAAACGAGCGGTTTGTGTGAGAAAAAGAACAGTATTTATATCGTTTTTACCTCTTGTAATCACAGCCATGTCCAAGTACTCTGAGGGCGCGGGCGTTTCGGTCTGCGCATGCGCGGGAAAGCACCAGAAAAGCCTCGGAAGTGATCTCTCGTGCGTTGACGTCACTCATTGTTTTGTTTTTTGACATAACAAATTCAACGTTGTCTGTTGAAATTTCGAAATCGTCTTCCATTGCAATTTCCTGTATATCTAAATATGTTTAGATCTTCACAATGAAGGGTAACACTTCCGAAAACTCTGTGTAAACAATGGGTGACATACACGTGCGAGAGATCAGGCCGAAGCGCCCGCGCCCTCAGAAAATACTGTTCTTTTTCTCACACAAACCGCTTTTTTCATGTCTTAGGCCATCAATGTGTCCTGACATTTACGAGTCATTAAATCATGTTTAATTTGGACTTCTCTGTGCATGCTCTTTGAGGAGGTGACCATAGATCTGCATTATATGACTGACAGACAAGAACGGTTAAAAAATCTCAAAATTGAAAATACTGTGGAAACAAAGACACCTACATCTTGGATGCCCTTGAGGTAAGCTACAGTAAAACTAAGAGAACTATCCCTTTAACCACATCACTTATCTGCTTATCATATTTAAGGTTGTTATCAGGCCAGACTCGATATTCCCAAATTCTGAACACAGGCGGGGCTTTACGGTAACTATGTTTGGAGATCAAACTCACTCTTGGCACTCTTTGCATCTTTACAAATGTAACTAAAGGTCAATGTGAAAACAACACAGATACACATAGAAAACCTGGACCTTTGGAAGATTTGTATTGATTGGACAGTTTTATAAATGTTGTGAAGATTACTATATAAACTGAATCTAATACAAGCAAGGTAAGGCATCTTTAAAGGAATACTCCACTTTTTGGTCATGTAAATATACAAAACTTCTTCACTGCTCATTCATATTTAAAAGGCTTTTGTACCAAATTAAATGTAGAATATGCATTTTTGAAAAATAGGGTTTTTAAACTTTTCTTTTTAAAAAAGTCTTATAAAACCAGCATTAAATAGTTAATTTCTATGAATGCAGCACATTTAAAACATTTTATCGATAAGATATTTCAAAAGATTATTGATTTTCTTCATAACTCTTGTACATCATTGGCTCAGTGTTTTCTGCCTGTTGGACTGAGAACTATTATTTTAATGTTTCTATGCTTACTTGAAATACAATGTTAACACTCTTGGCATCTTTACAAATGTAACTAGGTCGATGTGAAAACTACACAGATACACATGTTATTGAACCACCTGTTGATGAACTTTGGAAGATTTGTATTGATTGGGCAGTTTTATAAAGGTTGTGAGGATCAGGAATTAAACATACTGAATCTAATACGAGCAAGGTAAGACATCTTTAACACTGATTCACACTTCAGCTTTTTGCCACTTTCAAGACACATTGTTTTTACTTTTCAATATGTGAGTCAGACATCTGTATAACTGAACCTGTATTGTTTCTGACAGATATGGCGGTCTTTAATGGTGTTCGGCTGGTGTCTCTGGCTGTGCTGGTGTTGGTGTCTCAGCTGGACTCTGCCAGCGCTGCTGTTCGGGTGTTTGGTTTAAGTGCCAGAGGCCTCGGCGGTGACATTTTTGAAGATTATCTCGATCCATACCTCAAGGTCAGGTGTGGATCTTCTTTTGGGCAGACAGAAAGTTTCGATGATAATAATAATCCTACATGGTCTGTAGAGTTCAACTTCCCAAACTGCAATCGATATGACAAGCTGGAGGTGGAGTTGTGGGACAGTGACCTATTTTTTGATGAATACTTCGGCACGTGTTCCGAAAATGTGATGTTTAAAGGGGTTTACTCCATTACTTGTCGGGGCTCCGAAGATACCCTGTTTTACAGCTACGAGTTGTTAGAATAAACCTTTTCCAAACAGCTTTGAAACAAACTGTATGATAGGAATAAAGTTGTCCAATATAACGTGTATGTGTTGCATTAATATGTTCATTAAAATCTACAGCTAACATACTTTTCATCTTTAGTGAAATACTTTAACTAACAGCAACATGAAAATAGAAATGAAAGTCATAAATCAAGGTTGTCTCTGCTTCTCAGTTCACACTGAATCTAGTTTTAATTTGTGCTCTTTATTAAATATAGTGCACCATATAGCCCTGCTTCTCCTCTCACAGATTGGTGCAAGTGATAAATTCCCCATAACCTGCACATCACATCACAACACACACACTTTTCATACTTGTAAACATGAGTATTTTACTCTACATTTTATGTTTTAGAAAGTATAGTATACATCGAATGTTCATAATTGATGAGCAAGAGACCTTTTATTGTAAATGGCTTTTTTTTTTTCTGTGGAAATTTTAATGATCCCTGGAATTGCTAAGTTCTAAATAGTCAATAAAACAAACAAAAAAAAATCACGCATGAATCATTTCAATGAATATTGATCCAGTTTATTTATAGTGATTTCTCTCGTCGAATCTAAGACAGATTTTACATGATGATGATTATTATGTGGAAACATCACGAAATGCAAAACAACGACTGACACTGATGATGGCAAACTTAGCCTACAAAAATATATATTCTAGAAGTAGGCTGTAGACCTCTGTCTAAGAGGAATGTCATAAGAAACTCTATCCTGTATTGATTGTTTCTAGAAACCAAGGATTGTTCACCCAAAAGTATTTATCATTGTTATTCCAAACATGTATGAGTTTCTTTACTGTTGATTACAAAAGAAGATATTTGAAAGAATGATGGTTAACAAACAGTTGATGACTGGAAAACAAGCTCCATAGAGGTCAATGGATGCCGTCACCTGTCTGGTACCATCATTCTTACAAATATCTTCTTTTGTGTTCAACAGTCAAGAAATACATACACGTTTTGGACTTGAGGGTGAGGTAGTACTAAAAAAAACATAATTTGGGGGTGAATTATCCCTTTAATAGTCCACATTTTTAAGTCATCTGCTGTTTACTCTTAATGATCAAGCAACAGACAGAGACCTTCCAGTTGGCTTATTATTTATGAATTCATTTAACTATACACTACCTGTTCAAAAGCAGAAATACATGTGCAAAAATTGCACTATTTGGGGAATTTATGACTTGCTGCTGCATTTGGGAAACAAAACTGTGAGCAGAAAGAGAAGCTGATATGACACCACTTGAGAATGAGAGGTGATTCTGAATCATCTCAAGTATTAGTTGCTTTTCCTTCTCAATTCACACTGAGTTCTTTTTGATATATGGCTTTATTAATATGGTGAATTCACTTTGTTAGTTTTTGTTTTTGTAAATAGATTAAAAGCATTTTAGTAAAATATTTATAGCCTATATATCAGTAAATCCAAAACACACACACACACTAGCAAATAAAAAAGGTTCAACTTTATTGTTATCAGCCTCAAAGTAGTTTACAAACTGCTGATTTAGAACAGGTTTATTTTGCTTCATAATTGTAAAACATAGTTCCTTTCTTCAGATAACAATTTACCCCGAAAGACCCTTTTCGCACCAGTTTGCTGCACACGCCCAAACGATCATCATATTTCAGGTCTTTGTCCCACACCTCCACCCTCAGGTTTTGATTTGCTCCGCAATGTGGGAAGTAGAATTCTTTATTCCAAATAGGATGAGCAGTATCCTTGATAAATGATGTCTGCCCCCCAAAAGAAGAGCCACACCAGACCTTGAGGTATGGATCGGGTTTGTTTCCAGCAGCGTCACCGGTGAGATCTCTGGCATGTAAGCCAAACACCCGAACAGCAGCGCTGGCAGAGTCCAGCTGAGACACCAACATCAGCACAGCCAGAGACACCAGCCGAAGAACTTTAAAGACCGCCATATCTGTCAGAAACAATACAGGTTGAGTTATAGACAAACATTGAAATGTAAAAATAATCTCTCTGTCTTTAAAGTGTCAAGAAGCTGAACTGTGATCCAGTGTTAAAGATGCCTTACCTTGCTTGTTTTAAATTCAGAATGCATGTTTCCTGATCCTCACAACCTTTATAAAGCTGCCTAATCATAAAAATCTTCCCAAGGTCATCAACAGGGTTATATCCCACGTGCATCTGTGTTGTTTCCTCATTGACCTAGTTACATTTGTAAAGATGTAAAGTAAAGCATAAAATAATGTGGTTCTCAGTACAAAGCAGAAAACACTGAGCTAATGATGTACAAGGGTGTCCATTATGAGGAAAATCAATTATCTTTTAAATATGTAGTTTAACTGAGTTGCATTCTTAGAAATTAACTTAAATATTTGATGCTGGATTCAAATTTTTTTTTTTTTTACTTTTATACATTTTTTTAAGAAAAATGTACATCTAATGACCCTAAAAAGTAATGTGGTGCAACCATAAAAAAATAAGTATTTTCAAAAATGCTTTAAGTATGGATTATATATACAGTAGATATATAAAACAAGTCTGTTTCTTTATTACTTACCCTCAAGTACCAAACATATTTGATACTAGATTACTGTATTGCACCGCATTACTTTTTTAGGGTCAATAGATTTAACTCATTAACTTTTCATAAAAATTGTATTAAGTAAATATATATATATACATAAGAAATCAGGACTGAGAAAAATTACACACTTGGCATCTTGACAAAGCGGAAACAACACAGATGGGATTAAACCCTGTTGATGACCTTTGGAAGATTTTTGTGATTGTATATTTTTATAAAGGTTGTGAGGATCAGGAAGTATATAGTTAAATTCATCCCTAAATGATTAGCCAACTAGAAGGTCTCTGTCTGTCACTTGATCCTTAAGAGAAAAACAGCAGATGACTAAAAAATTTGGACAATTAAAGGGATAGTTCACCCAACTATCACCCAAGGGATAGTTTTTTATCACTTACTCACCCTCAAGTCCCAAACATATATGAGTTTCTTTCTTCTGTTGAACACAAAAGAAGATATTTGAAAGAATGATAGACAGTTGACGGCACCCATTGATTTCTATAGTTGTTTTCCAGTCGTAAACTGTCTGTTAACCAAAATTTTTTTGTTCTACAGAAGAAAGAAACTCATATAAATTTGTAACAACATGAGGGTGAGTAATTATCAATATTTTTGGGTGAACTATCCCTTTAAGGTGAATGAGGGTGATGTATAGGCAATATATGTTTAAACCATTTTTGAAAATACCCTTTTTTACCGTTTTTGTTGATGTCGTTGTTGTTTTTTACTGAATGTTTGCACCACATGTCTTTTTTAGGGTCATTAGATGTACACTTCTTAAAAAATGTATACAACTAAAAAAAAAGAAAAAAATTAAACCAGCATCAAATGGTTAATTTCTAAGAATGCAACTCGTTTAAACTACATATTTCAAAGATTTTTGATTTTCTTTATAGTGGACACTCTTGTACGTCATCGGCTCTGCCTAAGCTTTGTAGGACTGAGAACTATTATTTTAATGCTATGCTTCTTCTATGCTTACTGGGAATACAATTTTTTACACTCTTGGCATCTTTACAAATGTCATCAGGTCAACGCGGAAACAATACAGATACGCATGGGATTGAAGACTTTTGTGATTTTATAGTTTTATAAAGGGGATCAGGAAGCGCACTCAAAAAAACAAGCTGTTAAACAAATCTAATTAAATTAAGGAAAACTTTTCCATGAGATTGAATTACATGTATCCAACTTTTTTTTAAATTAATTGTTTTGTATGAACTTAAAAGTTCTGCAATGAAAGAATTTTTTGTCAGATAATAAATTTTTGTCAGATAATATTTTTTTTTCCTGTCAATAAAATTGCCATAAATTTAGTTAAAATGACTTCACAGTTACTTCCAGTCTTTTTCTATTTTTACAGTCAATTTTAATAGTGAAGGTTTAAGTGTGAGATAATGCAAATAGCCTTTAGAATAAGTGCCCATACACTAAACAGTGACCACTCTTCTTGAAATTGGTAACCACAAAAGTCAAAAACATTACAGAAAGTCATCTAACTTTCTAACATAACTGAACATTAAACACTAAAATGAACTAACAATATCTTTCCATTTACTGAAAAACAGAAAATAACCATTCAAACCCTTAAATATACCAATATGAATATAGCAAACGAGTCGTATCAGATCACTTTTATGCTATATTTTTTTTAAGTGGTTATTTTTTAGCTTGATAGTCTCAGTCTTACTCATTTGCTTTCATTATAGGCAAGGACCATTACATTCTCCAAAAGTCCATGGAAAGTAACCATAAGGATTTGCTAATGAAGGTGAGTAAATGACGGCAGAATTATTTTTGGATGAACCAAAATAGTCCTTTAATATGCATTTACTGAAGGGTTATTATCCAAAATTACCTCTGGACATGACGAAGACACTATCATTATAAACTTCAGCGTATTATTGATTAGTTTATGTAATTATTAACAGAAAGACAGACGATTATATTCAATAGTAATGCCAAAATCAGTTTATGTACGTATTAACAGAAAGACACGCAGATATTCAAAGTAACGCCTAATTTTTAACCATGATAAAGTGCTTTAACAGTTAAACAAATCCAACAAATACAATTAAAGGGACAATGTAGGAATTTCTCCCGTTCAAACAAATTGCTTTTTTCAAATGCGCTTGCATCTACGGTAGCCATTATGTACCAAAAAGCTATGACAGGATGTCTTCTAATAGCACTTTGTCGAGTGTTCCTTCAAGTGAACAGGTTTTTTATTTCACATAAGCAGCAACTTAACACAACAAACTGAACAAATGTATTGACAAATTTGCCAACTCAGCAAAGCTGATAACAGATACTCATGGGATTTTAAGCACCTGTTGTTGATCACCAATTCAAATAATTTTGCAATGGTCACTGTATAAAGGGGGCTATGATCAGGGAAAAAGCACACAACACCTGATACAAGCAAGGTAAGGCATATTTATCCCTACATTACACCTTTAGACATTACTTCCACATTTCCATATTTGTGTGTATTAAAACTTTCTGTATTATTGAACATCTGTTCTTTCTGACAGATATGGCGGTCTTTAAAGATCTTCGGCTGGTGTCTCTGGCTGTGCTGATGTTGGTGTCCCAGCTGGACTCTGCCAGCGCTGCTGTTCGGCTGTTTGACTTACATGCCAAAGATCTCTCCGGTGACGCTCTTCTAAACAAACCCGATCCATACGTCAAGGTCTGGTGTGGCTCTACTTTTGGGGGGCAGACAGAATATATCAATGATAACAGAAATCCTACATGGTCTGCAGAGTTCAGCTTCCCAAACTGCATAAGTGGTGACAACCTGAAGATGGAGGTGTGGGACCTAGACCTGAATTTTAATGATCCTTTGGGCACGTGTGGCAGAGGGGTGCAATATGGGTCTTTCACCATTACTTGTTATCTGAAAGAAGGGACTTTGATTTACAGTTATGAAGCAAATTAAACCTGTTCTAAATCAGCAGTTTGAGACTGATAACAATAAAGTTTAACAGTTTGCTTAGAGTGTGTGTATTCTGCATTTACTGATCACATAGGCTATATTCATTTACTTTTTACTAAAATGCTTTTAATCTATTTACTCAAATGAAACTAATAAAGTGCATTCAGTACAATACATTAAGCCATACAGTATATAAAATAAAACTAGATTCGAAAATACTAGGCTAGAGAAAACTAGAAAAATAGATAACATAAAAAAGCAGATGACCTAAAAATGTGGACTATTAAAGCAGAAATATTTACTCACCCTCAAGTACCAAGTACTCAAGTATGTATGAGTGTCTTTTACTGTTGAACACAAAAGATATTTCAGAGAATATTGGTAACCAGCTGACGGCACAGACTTCCAAAGGCAACTTCTTTTCCTGTCGTCAACTATATGGTTCCCAACATTATTTCAGTGTTCAACAGAGAAAAGAAACTCACAGATTTGGAACAACATGAAAATGAGTACATGAAAACTATTTTTGAGTGAACTATCCCTTTAAGGTGAATGAAGGTGATTGTCAAGCTTCAAAAAACACCATAAAATGTGTCAGTATTATATAATACTTTAAGTATTCTGAAGCCATACTGTATTTATATATGAGGCAAAAAGTTCAATCATTATTTCATAGCCCTCCTTGGCGCGTAGCAGAGTCGTTCGATGTCATGAATCGCTCAAAACAAATCTTTTTAATTGATTCGCTCACTATTCGAACGGAGTTTTCAAGAGGTGAAGCTCATCAGTGATTATAACGACGTTACGTGCGGTTTGTTCGTCACCTAAACTTATCATATGACTAAATAACTATGTGAATATAGCGGACGAGTCGTGTCAGATCACTTTTATGTTATATTGTTTTATATGGTTATTTTATAGCGTGCATAGCCGTCTTCATTCGCTTTCACTAGCTTACAATTGTCAAGTGACCACATGCTCCAAAAATGTCTTCCACGGAAAGTAACCATACGGATTTCCTAATGAAGGTGAGTAAATGACGGCAAGATTATTTATGGATGAACCAACATTAGTCCTTTAATATGCATTTACTGAAGGGTTATTGCCCAAAATTACCTCTGTAGCACATGTAACGTTAACGAAGACACTATCGTTATAAACTTCAGCGTATTATTGATTAGTTTAGGCTACGTGCTAACAGAAAGACATATGCAAAGCAACACCAAATATTACTAACTAACCATGATAAAGTGCTAACAGTTAAACAGATCCATCAAATACAATTAAAGGGACAATGTGTAGGAATTTCTCATATCTAGTGGTGAAAATGTATTTTGGACTTCAGTATTTTCTGAAGTACATGCATTGTTAGACATCACATCATAATCAACTTTGAACTTTAAATGTCTATCTAGCTATAGAATAAAGTACACAACCAAACAATGAAAAAAGCTTGTAATTTAGACTGTGACATTGACTTAAATGTTGAGACGAAAGCTCAAATTCAGTGTCTCTTGTGAAATCTTTCTCCTGCTTTAGCTCAATCCACCTGGAAATAGCTATCCTGACATTAACTCTTTTTAAAATCTGAGATCTGAATACAAATGATACATTTGCACTAGATATTTAAAAGATTTATTTTCTTTATAATGGACACTCTGATATGTCACTGTTTTCGGCTTTTGTCACTCAGAATAGAATTACTAAAAATATTTTAATGCATTGCTTCTGTGCTTTCTTATGATGCAATTTTATGCATTCTTGCCAACTTGTGGCCAACACAGAAACGCATGGGATTTAACCACCTGTTGATAACCTTTTGGAAGACTTTTATGATTGTATAGTTATTGTAGGAGCCATTTCGATGTTCTGTCCAGGTGCTTAGCGGTTACAGTTATATAAAGGTTGTGAGGGGGTGAAATTTAGGACGATTCTAAGGGCCCACACCAACTCTGCTTCTGCACATGTACTGTACTCTGTGTCCTGTCCTTGAGCAAGACTTTCTTCGAATCTGTGATGTTGGACTTTGAGTTGGAAAAAGAAAAAGACAAATGCCAAAGATAGAGACAGGGTAAATATATATATATATTATCTTCATGAAGCACATCAGTTTCAGTAGCTAGGGGAATTTTTTTTACCAGCAGTTGCTCTTATTTGCCTTTGCCTACTACCTACAATTGTTACAATCTTATAATAAATAAACACCTTAAATTACATAAAACAGGAAGACAGATGTCTTGGCTCTACAGATGACATTACAATTAAACCAGAGGGTTTGCATAAAAAGATGATTGTTCTATGACAATCTACATTTTTGTCAATTTTAGAGAGTACTACATTTGAGGTAGAAAGCTGATAACAGATACTCATGGGATTTTAAGCACCTGTCGTTGATCACCAGTTCAAAGAATTTTGCAATGGTCACTGCATTATAAAGGGGGCTATGATCTGGGGAAAAAGCACATAACACCTGATACAAGCAAGGTAAGGCATATTTATCCCTACATTACACCTTTAGACATTACTTCCACATTTCCATATTTGTGTGTATTAAAACTTTCTGTATTATTGAACATCTGTTCATTCTGACAGATATGGCGGTCTTTAAAGATCTTCGGCTGGTGTTTCTGGCTGTGCTGATGTTGGTGTCTCAGCTGGACTCTGCCAGCGCTGCCGTTCGGCTGTTTGACTTACATGCCAAAGATCTTGCCGGTGACGCTCTTCTAAACAAACCCGATCCATACGTCAAGGTCTGGTGTGGCTCTACTTTTGGGGGGCAGACAGAATATATCAATGATAACAGAAATCCTACATGGTCTGCAGAGTTCAACTTCCCAAACTGCAAAAGTGGTGACAACCTGAAGATGGAGGTGTGGGACAAAGACTTGAATTTTGATGATCTCTTGGGCACATGTGGCAGAGGGGTGCAATATGGGTCTTTCACCATTACTTGTTATCTGGAAAAGGGGACTATGTTTTACAGTTATGAAGCAAAATAAACTTGTTCTAAATCAGCAGTTTGTAAAGCTACTTTGAGACTGATAACAATATAGTTTAATCTATTTACTAAAAACTAACATTCACTTACCATATTATTAAAGACATAGCCTATATCAAATAAAATTAGATTCGATTCAGGGTGAATTGACAAGCAGAAGCAATAATACTTTAGACTTCAGTAGGGATAAGTTGATTTCAGAATCACCTCTCTTTCTCAAATGTTTGTCACATCAACTTCTCTTTCTGCTCAATGATTTATTTTCCACTGGCAGCAAGTGATAAATTACCCCAGTGCAAATCACACATTTTATGCACACTTACAAGAATACATATTTTTTGGAGGCTAAGTTATACATTGAGAGCTTGGCAGTTCCAGGTATCATTAAAATTTCCGTATTCCACAGAGAAAACAAAAATCATCCATGGAATAAAAGACTTTTATTGTAAATGGCTTATCAATTATGAACATTTGACATATACTACACTTCCTGTAGCATAAAATGTAGAGTAAAATACTCATGTTTACAAGTATGAAAAGTATTATGTGGTGTGCCCGGATGTGATGTGCAGTTTATGAGGAATGTATCGCTTGCAACATTCTGTGAGAGGAGAAGCAGGGCTTTACAGTATGTGACCCTAGACCACAAAACATGGGCTCATGGGTCATAAAAAAATTTGAAATATAGATTTATACATCATATGAAAGCTGAATAAATATACTTTCCATTGATGTATGGTTTGTTAGATTAGTACAATTTGGCGGGGATTCAACATTTTTAAACATCTGGAATCTGAGGGTGCAAAAAAATCCGTAACATTAAGAAAATCGCCTTTAAAGTTGTCCATTTTTGTTGATGATTGTGCTGCATTCACTTACAAAAATAAATATTTTATATATTTACAGTAGGAAATTTGGAACATGATCTTTACTTAATATCCTAATGATTTTTGGCATAAAAGAAAAAACAATAATTTTGACCCATACAATGTATTGTTGGCTATTCCCACAAATATGCTGTAACCGTGCGACTTGTGACTGGTTTTGTGGTCCAGGGTCACATAAAACCTTTTAATAAAGTGCAAAAATTAAAACTAGATTCAGTCAGTGTGAACTGAAAAGCAGAGACAACCTTTATTTAGGACTTTCGTTTCTATTTTTATGTTGTTAGTAAAAGCATTTCACTAAAGAAGAAAAATAGATTTTAATGAACATATTAATGCAACACATACACATTATATTGATAAACTTTATTCCTATCAGGCTATTACAGTTTGTTTCAAAGCTGTTTGGAAAATGTTTATTTTTTAAACTCGTACTTGTAAAACAGACTTCCGCTGTTCAAATGACAAGTAACTGGGAAAGTCCCATTTTTCACCTCTCTGGTACACGTTCCCAAGTGATCATCAATATTCAGGTCTTTGTCCCACACCTCCAGTTTGAGGTTTTCATAAAGAATGCACTTTGGAAAGTTGAACTCTGCAGACCATGTAGGTCTATTGTTATCCTTGATAAATTCTGTCTGCCCCCCAAAAGAAGAACCACACCAGACCTTGACGTATGGATCAGGAAAGTTTCCAAAAGGATCACCGGTGAGATCTTTGCCACGTAAGTCATACACCCGAACAGCAGCGCTGGCAGAGTCCAGCTGAGACACCAACACCAGCACAGCCAGAGACACCAGCCGAACACCATTAAAGACCGCCATCTCTGTCAGAAAACAATACAGGTTCAGTTATACAGATGATGACACAAATATTGAAAAGTAAAAACAATGTGTCTTTAAAGTGTCAAGAAGCTGAAGTGTGAATCAGTGTTAAAGATGCCTTACCTTGCTCGTATTAGATTCAGTATGTTTAATTCCTGATCCTCACAACCTTTATAAAACTGCCCAATCAATACAAATCTTCCAAAGGTCATCAACAGGTAGTTCAATAACGTGCATTTGTGTAGTTTTCACATCGACCTAGTTACATTTGTAAAGATGCCAAGAGTGTATAAATTGTATGCCAAGTAAGCATAGAAGCAGTGCATTAAAATAATAGTTCTCAGTCCCACAAATCTACAAAAACAGAAAACACTGAGCCAATGATGTACAAGAGTTATAAATAAAATCAATAATCTTTTGAAATATCTTATTGATAAAATATTTTAAAATGTGCTGCATTCTTAGAAATTTACTATTTATGCTGTTTTATTAAATAGTAAATTTCTAAGAATTTACTAATTATTTATTCATTTATTTTTACTTTTAGACGATTTTTGTCTGAAGAAAAGTTTTTTTAGTTGTAACAAATATTTGGTTGGACTACATTTAATTTGGCAGACAAAAGCCTTTTAAATACGAATAAGCAGAAGTTTTGTATATACTATATACATGACCATGGGTGTTTGTGACAATTAAAAAGTACATAGTAAAAGGACATGGGAACTGCAATCGTCTCAATTCATTGATTTCTGGTCCGACTCAGAATCCAATGTTTTACCAATATGATCAAACATCGTTCAACTACATAATTTTATATTGTGTCTAAAACCTCGGTATGTGTCTATAGATCTAAGTCATGTAATGTTACAACTATTAGATGTGTCTTGTTTCCTATTAGTAGCCTACTTTCATATGTTCTAAGATGGCTTGTTTGAAATCTGTGTAAAATGTTTTGTGTTCTTATAATAGGAATCATGTCTAAACTGTACTGTACTCGCTAAAGCTTCAGAGTAAAGAGATCACAGATGACGCATGATTTATGATGAGTGGTGAAGAAAACGGCATCTCTCAAATAAACACAGGTCGTAATCGGTCAGAACTCATCCAAGAGGCCGGAAAAACATTTGAGTTTAAAATCTTAGACCCGAACAAAGCATTAGAGTTACAGGAGTTATACTGAAGAATATCCCAGAATGCATTAGTGTAGATTTACATCGTCATGATTGCCATGACAGAGTAACAGACGGGCGATCCATGTAGACGAGCAGACAAAATAACCCAAATCAAGATCAGAAGAACAGGGGTTTAAACAGCTTCATTCAAGTCATCCAACGACTCGTCTCACTTTTCTTTCTTTAGTTCTCTTTTCTTTTCCGTTGAGAGTCTCGGTTCTAAGTTTCCAACACACCACGTGATTGGCCGCCCAAGACATCTATCCAGGCACGAGGAGCCCGCCAGCCAAGCAACGGACCTGAGAAATCCCCTTTTACGCTGACAAAATGAATCCCAAAAGAAACGCAAATACAAGCAAGTAGCCGCCAGACTCTTAACTGAACTGGTGCATTGAGATAAAATTGAATAACCCGCCTAAGAAACGATAGAAGGGTTAAATTAATGATTGATGGTTCGTTCAGGTCATGTCTAATAGACATGGTAGAGACTCATGGTTAGTCTGGAGTAATTACTTGACAATAGAAGCCTATAGACCCCTTTTCAGCTGGTAAACATGGTGACGTTTTTATGTGGGCGGAGCTTAGGTGGAGGCAGAACGATCCCTCTAACGCTAGTTAGCAAGGTTTATTAGCTTGTTTTTTTAACAATGACTGGAGAAAATCAGATTTTATCTTAATGTGTAAGGTCACTCACTGTCTAGGACCGCGATTGTTATTTTCAAAAGTTAATTTTTAACGGACAGAACCAGATTGGCCGACCCGTAGCCTTCACACGCTCGCTCAATGCATGGATGATCTGACAGGATTAACGTACGTTACCTCGGTTGAGTGGCCTGACTTCTACACCTACCTTATGTAGAAACCGATCGTAAATAGAAACTGAGGGCATATAAATCTTTAGATGCCTATAACTATATGGTCCTGTACAAGACTTCATCTCAAGCTGTTGCATACCGAAACAGGAGGGGCATTCGCGGTGCCCATCTCTTGGGTCTATGCCAGTTTGGCAAAACCGACATTTTGAGAAACTCATGACAACAAGCCAGAGGTCAAGTCACTGGTCTATGATAAGAAAAAATAAATAAACTATTGCACCACATTATTTTTTTGGGTCATTAGATTTAACTCATTAACTTTTCATAAAAAAAAAAAAATTTAATCAGGGCTGAAAAAAAATTAATAATTTACACTCTTGGCATCTTGACAAATGTAATTAGCTCAGTGCGTATACAACACAGATTGAACCCTGTTGATGACCTTTGGAAGACTTTTGTGATTTTATAGTTTTATAAAGGTTTAGGGGATCTGGAAGCATAACGGGTAGTGTGCACTTAAATTCATCCCTAAATGATGAGCCAACTAGAAATTAGGTCTCTGTCTGTTGCTTGATCCTGAAGAGAAAAACAGCAGATGACTTAAAAATGTTGACTATTTAAGAGCCCCTATCATGGATTTTTGAAAATGACTGTTCATATGGTGTGGAATATATAGCTCTAAGGGAATGAAAACATCCTGCAAAGATTTACAGTATATCTGAAAGTGCACCGTATATGAAGTTATTGTCTTTCAAAAGTGAGAGTCGACTCTGAGTCTATGAAATGAATTGTTTTTGAAACGAGTCATTAGCTGTTACATCGTGACGTAGAGACACATTGGCCGCGCCCAGTTACTGCGCGCGCAGACGGAAGTGTAAACTTGAAGTCTACACATTCAAATACTTCATCATAGCATCATGCCGAGAAGACGCTGTGTTCTACAATGCAAAGATAGTTCAGCCACTTTGTTTTCATTTACCAGCATGTGAAGAATCGGTGGTTATAGTTCATATTTCCATCGATACCAAAACAGTATAGCCCGATTGTGTTCTCATTTTAATGACGAATCGTTCAAAAACATAAATGAATTCAAATGTGGATTCGCAAGCGGTTGTTCCTAAAGGAGGGCTCAGTAACTTACTTACCCAGTGTATATGGATCAGCTTCCTCCTCCGAATCAAAACCTGTAAGTATTATTAATAATTGTTGCTTTTATGGGTTTTGAACGGTTTTGTAGCGTGGAGGGAAGACGTAATAAGTGTGTGTATGTGTGTGCGCGTGTGTAGCGCAGCTTCTTGGTCTCCAATGTCAATTTTTTTAAAATATGTGAAATGTTTGTCGCTGTTATTGGAGTTGTCATAAAGAATAGAGCGTCTTGTAGTACTGCAGTGCTTTATCAATATGTTTATGCGTTGCAATAACTGACTGGGTCTGTCATCTGACCAATCACCGCCGATTAGCGTCACGCAAAGGAGTGGTTTGGAAAAATGAGTCCTTGTACGAATCATTTGGGAGTCGGTGAGCAAATCAGTTAAAAATAAATGCATATTAAAAGACAAATAAAGTGTTTTTTATCCTTGCATGCATGTTAAACTGTTTTTGGGAACTCCTAAAACAAAAATAGGAACATTTCAAATGCTATGATAGGGGCTCTTTAAAGGGATATTAAATTTGACTTACTCAAGTATCAAACATGTATGAGTTTCTTTCTTCTGTTGAACACAAAAGCAGATCTTTTAAAAGATGTTGGTAACC